AGGGGAAGGAGGAGGAGCTTGGCGGAGGTTATGGCTGTGTTCCCAAAAGTTTTCTTGGTGTTTATGTGCAGGAGCTGAATTCTTGGGACATTCATCACATTTGGTTCCCGGCTGACTTAATGCTCTAAATAATAACTCCCTCTTCACCTGACTGCCGAGAGTGACTGCCAGGGGTGAGGGCAGCTCAGCTGGAGGGAGAGGTCTGCCCTCATGGCTGATGAGTCAGGTGTGAGGCTGGCTTGAGCATCTGGACTAATTTGTCCTGAGCTGCCGGCTGCTTGCCACTTCCTCCTCTCCCGCCCTTATTTGGAGCCCCTGACAACTGAGCCGAAAACCAACCCCGGGGGAGCTGGGCACTGGCCAACCGTCACCCTCTGCCTCCCTGCGTGGGTCCTGTTGCCGAGGAGAAAGAAGCCCCAGGCATCACTGTGAGATAACCAAGGACTCTTTTTTGCTCTTCTCACACCTTTGAAGTGGGAACCTCTTGAGGCAAATCAACAAGAATGTGGCTCTTGCAGCTGAGGGTCTGGGGTTGTTGGGGCTGCTCAAGGTGGAGGGGCAGTGACAGGCTCTGCTGGGCTGATAGCTTTAAAAGGGCATCTTCTGCTGCTCCTCATTCAGCTGCTTTATCGCTGCAAGTGACAGAATGGGGAGGGTTCCGTCCCTCTTGCGCTCTTGGAGAGCTGGGGGGCTATAAAAAGAGGAGGTGTAGGGCAGCTGGGAGACAGAGGCGGAGGGAGGCTGAGAGAAGGAAAGGAGAGGACAGAGAGGCAGCAAGCACCAGAACACTCCTTGACCGACGCCACCATGGGCTCCTTCTCCACCATCACCGCAAGCTTCCTCTTCCTGGCGTTTCAGCTCCTGGGGCAAACAGGAGCCAACCCCGTGTACAGCTCTGTGTCCAATGCAGACCTGATGGATTTCAAGGTAGGGCCAGGACAGGGGCCACAGTCTGGGACTAGGGGGCTTTGTGACACTGTGCCAGTCATTTGAGACCTCTCCCTTTCCCTGTGTGTTCCTTTTGTAAAGAATTTGCTGGACCATTTGGAGGACAAGATGCCTTTAGAAGATGAAGTCGTGCCCCCACAAGCACTAAGTGAGCAGAATGAGGAAGCTGGGGTAGCTCTCAGCCCCCTCCCTGAGGTGCCTCCCTGGACTGGGGAGGTCAACCCAGCCCAGAGAGATGGGGGTGCCCTTGGGCGTGGCCCCTGGGACTCCTCCGATAGAGCTGCCCTCCTGAAAAGCAAGCTGAGGGCACTGCTCGCTGCCCCTCGGAGTCTGCGGAGGTCCAGCTGCTTTGGAGGCAGGATGGACAGGATTGGAGCTCAGAGTGGACTGGGCTGCAACAGCTTCCGGGTAAGAGGCACTTGGGGTGGAAATGGGGTGGGGAGGAAGGCATTTATGGATTCACTGAGACTCAAACCTTGTCAAAGAACACCACCAGGGGATGCCTCCTGCTGTAAAGAGACCAGAGTAGAAGCTTACTTTTTGGAAAATTTTGTTCCAGCTTGAAGCAATGACATCATTCTCAGGTACAGGCTGCTAAGAAAATGTTAAGGAAAAAAAAAAGTTACTGCCATGAGCACTGGGGACTTAAAATGTTCATGGAGTCAAGTCACATTCATTCTGCTGATTGGCTGTTCATGTTCCTCCCCAGAGTTGCCAGATCCCAAAGGATTAAGTGAAAATGACTGAGGTTGACTTATAGCTTCTAACAAGCAATTTGTGTACCAGGTCATGAAACTCAGGGTTGTCAGGCTGGAGTGGGGGCTGCGGGGAACTGGGCACAGTCCCGTGAGGTGGACTTTTCCAATAGGGCCAGGTCACTAAGCCAACCTTGTCTCTGTTCTCTTTGTAGTACCGAAGATAATGGCCAGGGAGGAAAAGGCGGGCCAGGCCCTGGACAGACTTCGAGAGATCCTCATCCCTTGGGGTCTCTCACTCAACTGTGTCCCATCTCATTGCCATCAAGTTGAGCCGTGATGAGCACCCTGTTCAAGCTGCAGCCTCTTATCAATGTTTCTCACGTTTTATGCTGAATGTAGACCAAGTGGCTTAATTGTGGCTTCCGCTCCTCTCCCATCCCATGCATTAAATTTTAGGGTAGACATTCACCCATTACTGGAAGTTGTTTGAAAGATGAATAAACTTCAGCACCACGGACAGAAGCCGAAGGCTCGGTTGGTGTGATTTCTTTCTTTTTCCTGGGAGAATTCAGCCTGATACCCGTTTTACCTCTTGTCAGAGAGAATGCCTTGTTTCTTTCTTCTTCCTTGTAAACATAATAGCATTTATCTTGGGGAGCCATGTAAGGTTCACAGCAAAATGAAGAAGAAAGTATAGAGGCTTCCCATTGACCCCCTGCCCTCCCACATGCAGAGCCACCCTCATTATCAAGGTGTCCCACCAGAATGGTGCCTTTGCGACAGCCAAGGAACCTGCCTTGACACGTGGTTGTCATCCAGAGTCCACAGCTGACATTAGGGTCACTCTTGGTGGCATTCTGTGGGTTTGAACAAATTCTTCCTTGTATTCCCTCCCCACCTCTCACCCCCAAGTTTTTCTTTGGTGGAGGGTAGGGCTCAAACCGCAGTTCACAGCCTCATCGGGGGTCCTGGAAATGCCCCAGGAGACTGAAAGGACATTTATTTTTCAGATTTGCTCACATTCAGGGCACTTATTTATTGAAAAGAAAACTTACAAACATCTGGGCTTTTTTCTCCTGGTTGCATCTAATGTAGCTTGTACTCCATAAACAATTTTGTATACCTAGTAGTTTTTTGGGGTTTTTTTGGATCCACATTTATACTCAGAGCCTGAAAAAGAAAATCAAGGCACATTTGTAAATGAGATCACTAACACAATTTTCTCTGATACCTTTTGAGAGAGTTACTTGCAGCAGCCGAGTGGCTGCCGTTTAAGAAAAGTGGGCAAAATATTTGCTTTTACGAGACCAGTGCTCTAACCTCTGAGCTATGGAGGCTGTATTTGCTTTCAAAAGCTGAGCAAAGCAGGACGCCCTGGGGGCTCAGTCGGTTGAGCATCCGACTTCAGCTCAGGTCATGATCTCATGGTTCTTGCATTTGAGCCCCACATCGGGCTTGCTGCTGTTAGCATGGAGCCCACTTCAGCTCCTTGGTCCCCTCTCTCTCTGCCCCTATCTCACCCACGCACACGCCCTCTCTCTTTCTCTCAAAAAAAAAAAAAGCTGAGTGAAGAAAGAAACGTTTGCTTTGCTGACAAACTGCACAGTTTATGTGCCTTTGGGATACTAATACATAATTAAAAACTAGCCACCAGCTTTCTCTAATTCAGCCCCAAGGTGATGGAACAGGGCTGCAGTGGAGAAGATGCCGTTTCTTTGTATCCGATTCTGAAAAGTGGAGAGTACCAGGCACTAAGTTCACCCACAACAGGGAGGCTTGCTCTGTTTTCCCGCCCTATGTGCCTCATTCTCCATGTCAGATTCTATGACATGCCTCCAACTCCCCCTACACCTAACTGCTCACTTCTCCGTGCCCTTATTTATCCTGTTCCTTCCTCCTGTAATGCTATTTACCCAGTGCTCCTGGGAACATTCTACACATCCACGGCTCATTGAAGATGCCACTCCATCCCTGGTATCATATGCCCAGAACTCACTATGCTCTGCATTGGTAGCATTCTATATATGACGAGTACAACACAACACAATTTGCCTTGGCAGGCAATTGTGGCTGTGTCCCTGGACTGTATACTCCTTGAAGGTAAAGGCCTGGCCAGCACCGCTGCAGCCCATGGCATTCTCGGCGCTCTATAAATGTCAATTTGTTGGGGCACCTGGGGGGGGCTCAGTCGGTTAAGTGCCAGTCAGTTAAGTGCCAGACTCGTGGTTTTGGCTCTGGCCATGACTTTGTAGTTCATGAGATGGATCCCTGCATCAGGCTCTGCACTAATGGTGTGGAGCCTGCTTGGGATCCATTCTCTCTCCCGCTCTCTCTGCTCATGCACACTCTCTATCTCTCAAAATAAACTTAAAAAAAAAAAAAAAAAGTCAAATTGTCTTGGTCCTGTACAGAAGTTAGGAAAAGAGGGACAAAGTAGTAGTTTGCTCTTTGTAAGGGAAGGGGAGGCCAGAAGTGAATTGATGGTTCAGGGGCAGAGGCAGGGAAAGACCTTAAACCTAACCACTTCCGATAAAAGTATTCTTCATGTGGACTTTGGGCAGAGAGGGACAGAAAACCAAGAAGCAGAGGACTAACAAGGACAAGAGCAGAAACAGGGAGAAGCGTGTGTCCTAACTCGGCTGCCGAGGTCTGGGGAGGAGGGGCTGCAAGGAGGGGGAGTGCGGTGAGCCCCGCACACACTCCCGAGGTGTCACTGGGACACGGCGGGCGCTCACAGAATGGGAATGATGGATGCGCCGGATACACAGAAAGTGCCCCTGGCTCTCAGGAAACCTGGGGTCAGGATTGAACGGAGGCGAAATCTACTGCTGGTCGAAGGGCAACTTAAAGCAGACCGACCGGAGACAAAGAGAATCCTACTTGTGGCCGAGCAAAGAGCAATGACAGATGGCGGCAGGGAAGCCAGCTCCAAGGTCTAAGCATCTACAGATCGGTACTGACATCACTTCTTCCGGCTGGGTGCTGAGAACATGTCCGCGGGGCAGATTCCTGAAAGCAGCCCTGCAGGCACACAAATGGATCCCCTTACTACGGAGGCACTGACTGAGGGAGCAGGAGGCCTGTTACAGGAGCAAAGCATCAGCGACCAAGGTCCCCGGGGGTTCATTTGAGGGGAGAAGCGGAAGGCTGGGAACTGGGTGATTTTTGCTCAGATCCACAGGACTAAGGTGGGAGCAGAGGGACCCCTGGGAACAAATCTTGCTGACAGAGCTCTGGGAGGAGACGGCAGAGACTCCACATCTTCTCTGCCATTTTTGCAGATTGGAAAGAGAGAGTAGAGTAAAAGCCAAGTGCTGCTCTAAAGAAAGCGGGGCGGGGGGAAGAGGGAGAAGCTTAAAGGAGACAGATGAAGACATTTTATTCTGACGTTGTTACAGTTACAATGAGAACTTCCAAGTTTCAAAAGTTCAAATAAAAATAGAATTTTACAAATTAAAAAAAAATACAATATGTACACAATAGAATTAGCTAATATTACTATACAAACCAACAGTGCAAACAGAGAAAAGGAAGCTGCTACTGCCGAGGTGACCAAGGTCCACGGGGCCGTGGGGCAATACTGTACATCCACACCGCAGGGCCCGGGAGGGCGCTTCTGGCCTTTCCAGGGGCCTTCTGGTCTCCGAGGGCCGCGTCAGGACACGATTTTGCATCGGGAATGTCAGAGTTGGTTGGGTCAAGCAAGCAAGCGTCCATCCCGGCCAGGAACCATTAGTTAAACAAGGTCATGAGCAAATCATCCCCCAGAGTGCAAAGGTCCTGCGGTCGGGAGGGACTCTTGCTCCCTAGCTCCCGATCACCTCAGCTGGGGAACCGGAAACACCAAGCGCGAGATGAAACACAGAAAACTGTCTCCAGCCACCGCCGGGCCCCCTGTGGGTTCTGTTTATGGACGTGCCATCCCACGTGGAGGTGAAGGGGCCGGTGACCGGGGAGGTGGTGACAACGTGGGCTTCTCATTATTCAAGGGGTGAGGCTTCCAGTTACTTTGTTACAAGTGGGGCAGTCGCTGTCTTTGGGCATATCAGGGAGGGGAAGACGCCCGCAGAGGGCAGGAAGCAGTGTGCCTTTCCAGAGTGAGTTTGGGTCCGTGGCGGCCACGTGGTAGAGGGATGCATTTGTGCGGTACTGTCTACCTCCAGGCCACATCAGTGGGAACAAAGCATCTGGTGACTTAAATGCAAGGCAGTGGGCACTAAGGGGTAGATTCCAACAACATGCACCCAGGGCGGCCTTGAGGCAGGCGGCTTCCCAGACCCCCGGAGGCCAGAGGTCCCCCCCACCCCTCCTCGCAGCACTTTAGTTCTGCCGGGAGGGATGGGAAGAGGGGATTCAGTTTCTGTGATGGGTGGTCTGGACACTCTCCTGACTCGGGGAACTAACTGCTTTCTTTCTTAATAAAAGGAAGGATGAATGTGGCCAAGCTCTGACTGCTGCCTTAAAACACAGGGGCAGCTAGTTAAACACAATCACAGTCAGAAGGGCTTGCCTTTTTTGGTCCTTGTGATTCCCCCAACTAGCTACTGGGGGTCCCATCCACATCTCACAAGGCAAGTGCATCTGAGGAAGCTGAAAAACGTAGAAGTTAAAGTACTTTTGGTCAAAGAGGCAGGAAAATGGGAGAGGGCCACAGGCAAGTGGAAAAGATCCTGGAAGCAGTCTCCTCACTTAAGTGAGCAGAGTGTGCCGAGCACAGGGTCTAGGCCGGCCCGGACGGATGGACGGATGCCCACCCCCAGGGAGAGGGCAAGAGGTGTTGCCGAAGTCAGGCGTCCACGCCCTTAGGCAACTTCCGCAATTTATAAAAATAACTTAAATGCACAGGAATGACCTCTTGAGGCCCAAAGCGTGCCTGCCCCAGGGCTGCAGGGTGGGCCTCGGATGGGGCACAAATAAGGGGAGAGCACAGGGGTTGAGGAAAGAAGTACAAATACCCCACGGCAAGTGTTCACTTTGGGGGCCCAGTCAGAGGACCGCCCGGTCTGGAGGGAGACCGAGTCACTGACAGCCAAGAGGAGAGGCCTCCTTCCCCTGGTTAACGCTACAGCCTCAGGGCCTGGTCCTGCCCCCCCCAGGCCCCTCCACAGGCTGGGGATGGCTGGGGGTGGCTGGGGGGGGTGGGGGGGGCGAGAGAGGCTGGTGAGGGGCACACACCCTCCTCCAGGAATAAGCCATCTGCTTTATCCTCACACTGGCTTCTCCAGCCCCGTCGCGTTCCTGCCGAGGTCACTGGCTCAGGACTCACTTCTTTCCGTCTGAGACATAACTACCATCCCCCAGAGTAAGGTCGAGCAGTTTCATCACGGGGTGCCCTGCTTTTAGCTAACTTGGGGTGGGGGGAACGCCAAGGTCCTCTGGGCTGAGGCTGCTTTACCAGGAAGACGCACGTAAGAACTGAAGGAAAGTTAGTCAGTGCAGATGAAAGGGACGAGGGATGGACCAGGGTAAACACGAGTCACCAGGAGAGAAGCTGGGGGGCTGTAAATCAGGGCGTATGGTCAGACATCTTAGGGACGATCAGTGGGACCTTAATGCTTTGTGCTTCTGGAAGGTGCTGGCCCTATGGAGACTGTGGTCACAGGGGTGAGTCCGGGACAGCAGAGGCGAGCCCGGGGCTGCAGGGGTGAGCCCAGGGCAGCAGGGCTGAGACCGGGGCTGCAGGGGTGAGCCCAGGGGTGCAAGGGGGAGCCCGGGGCTGAGCGGTGAGCCCAGTGGTGCAGGGGTGAGCCCAGGGGTGCAGGGGTGAGCCCGGGACTGCAGGGGTGAGCCCAGGGCAGCAGGGGTGAGCCCGGCGCAACACCTCTCCAGGAAGGAGGAGCTTCCTCCAAACTGCTGAGCACATCGAGTTAAGGGTCCCAATGAAGAAGACTGCCCTGAAAGTGGGGTGAATTTTCTCACTGGCCAATCCCTAAATTTGGTAATTCACTTAATTTGGCGACTGGCATTTGCCCCAGAGTTTGCCTTGGCCTAAGTCCCTCCCGTTACAGTTTAAGGCAACAGCTGGGTTCCCTACGAAAGCAGCAGGAGGGGCAGGAAAACTGCTCTGGGGGTCCCTCTCCGAGGTGGGGAGGTCTGACGTCCCCTCTGGTCCTGGCACTAGTGGGGTGGAGGGGCCTGGGGCCTGAGCCGATGCTAGACGGCAGAAAAAGCAGTGAGCAGGAGACAGGAAGATACTTGCTGAGAAAGTCAGACAAGTTCATGCTCTCCTGGTGCGATGCCATCCCCAGGATCTGACCAGAGAAGCGTTCGATGACTGGAGGCTTTCCGAGTGAGTGGGTGGATGGGAATCTTCCGTGCCCTGGACTGGCCCCAGCTGGCCGCGGCGGCGGAGCACGAGCGAGCTGCACCCCCAGGCAGCTCCAGGAGAAGGTGGGCTGGCCACGCTGGCCTGTCAGATGGTCTGGTAGTGCTGCCGCAGTCGGGCATGCAGAAACTCGTACGTCAGGTTGTGCCGGGTGATGATCCCAACGATCTAGGACACGGAGAAGAAAGCCCACGTCACCTGCAGAATAAGCCCACTGGGGCAAGAACAGGAGCGAACAGAGCTTGCCCAATCCTGCGCAGAGTGTGGGGACAGATGTGACAACCTTGTCACGCTGCGCAGTTCAAGGTTACCCAGGTTCCAGATGAGAAGGAGATCAACTGGTAACTGGGGCTTATAAACTGGAGGCCAAGGGGGCAAACTCACCTCCAAGAAAAATCTTAGTCGGGCCAGCTAAAAATCTGAATTTGAATGTCTTAAAAATTATATATTTATTTTAAGAGAGAGCGAGCGCACAAGAGCGAGTGTGCACATGAGCAGGAGAGGGCCAGAGGGAGAGAAAGAGAATTCCAAGCAGGCCCTTAGCTGTCAACGCAGAGCCTGATGTGGGGGTGGAATTCACAAACTCTAAAATCATGACCTGAGCTGAAATCAAGAGTCAAATGCTTACCGGACTGAGCCACCTGGGGAGGTGCCTCTGAGTTTGAGTGTCTTTTTAAACAAGGCACATGCTCCCTAACCTTCTCAGTTCCCACCACCCCTGGAGCCTGCTTCACGCACCTGTGCAAAAGGCAGAGCTCAATGCAGGCTTCCGAGGTGCCCGGACCCCGCTACAGTTAATACTGTCTCTCAGCACCGTCTGAGTCATTGTGACTCTGATTTATAATAGGATTTATGAAAGGAAATTTGTAATAGGTCTCTGTCCTAGTCCCTGGCACAAAGCTCTTAAAACTTGTGGAATTAAGTGATCAGAGTAAGAGAGGGTGTCTTGTATCATTCAGGGCAAGCCCCTTTCAACCAAACCGGAGTTTATGTGAATGATGGGACCTCTAGGAAGCCCCTGAGGATCGAGGCTAGTTGCCAAGGCGACCAACCAGGTGACTATAGCATTGGATCTTCCAACCCCAGTTCCTAACTTGGGGGGGGGGGTGCTGGAGGTTGAAACAATCACCAATGACCCTTGATGTGATCAATCATGCCTACCTAACGAAGCCTCCAAGAAAATTCCTGAACTACGGCGTGCGTGCGGAGAGAGCTTCCACGCCGGTGAACACGTGAGGTTCCAGGAGGGCAGCTTGCTGGGAGAGTGTGGAAGGGTCCCCCCCCCCCCCCCACCTGTCCTTTGCGTCTCTGCCCATCTGGCCGTTCCTGAGTCACAGTCTTTTACGGTAAACTAGTACTCTGGGAAGTAACCTGCTTCCTTGAGTTCTAGGAGCAGAGGATCATGGGAACCTTCAACTTAGAGCCACCTGACCAGAAACACAGAGGACAACCTGGACTTTTGATTGACATCTGGAGTGGGTGGGCGGGGGCTCATCGGGCTGAGCCCTTAACACGCCACCTCCCGGTACATGGTGTCAGAAACGAGCTTGGCCATGGGACGTGCAGCCGGTGTTCAGAGACTTGGAATTGCCAGTGTGTGGAACAGCGACAGCGGAGCATGCGTCCAGAGACAGGTTTTCACAACCGCGGCAGCGACGCACATCTGCCACTCATGTGGGCACTCCACACCGCGAACTGTGCTAGAGCCCTCACTACACTTGTGTTTCAAGGGACACAGTGTGGTCCACCATGACCACCCCCGAGGAGCAGCATCTGCCATGGGGCGCTTCTATTTAGAGGGTCTATTTCCCGGGGGAGGGGGGCGAGGGGGCGTGGGCATCTGGCAACACAGATCCAAGGTCTCAAAAGGGTGATCGATACAGTGACATTTCACTAAATACCCCCCAACAGAGGACCGCGGGGCGAGTGACTGCCAGCCAGCCGGTGGAATGCTGTCAAGCCGACTAAAATATCAGAAGCCGGGGTGCCTGGGGGGCTCAGCTGGTCAAGCGCCTGACTCCTGATTTCTGCTCAGGTCATGATCTTGTGGTTCGTGAGTCCAAGACCCGCATCAGGCTCTGTGCTGACAGCTGGGGGCCTGCTTGGGATTCTCTCTCTTTCTCTCTCTCTCTCCCCCCTCCCCCTCTCTCTGCCCTTCCCCCACTTGTTCTCTCTCTCTCAAAATAAACAAACTTAAAAACACACCTATATCGTAGGCCAACAAAATTTTCTGCCATGAAAAGTCATTTCCTCTAGATTAAACAAACCATTATTATTTTATTAAACACTATGAATAACGATAACATTCTCGTTAAAACTTGACACGCAAAATCTCTATTCCTAGACGCAGAGGAAAACGACAAAGGATCTACCTTGGGAAGACAGCGCGGTTACTACCTCTGTAGAAACAAGGCTCTGGTTTGTATTCTGCTTTTCTACGTTTTCTCATATATGTATATTTAACAACCAAACAATACCTGTGTAAGGAGGGAAAAAATGGAGTTCTAAGAAAAAAAAAGTCTGCGGCCACGCTTATGAGTTGTACCTGGCTGTATCTTTCAAAACCGCTCAAGAGTTTTGCTTGAAGTTCTCTCATTTAATGTTACAACCGCTCACTAGGTGGGGAGCAGCCCCACCTGCAGCTCAGGCCCAGGACACGGGACGTGCTAAGGCCGCCACCTGCTGGCCGAGTGGAGAGCGGCGCAGGCAACAGGCAGGAGGCAAAGGTCCTTGGAGGTTTGGGCCCCAGAAACCCTGCTGGCTGGGGAGCAGCAGGCGCTGCGGTTCCAGGGCCCTTTCCAGAAGACAGGCACAGACCGGAAGTCAGACTCACCTCCCCCACGGCATTCACAACAGGCAAGTGCCGCAGGCCCATGGTTCTGAACAGGTTGAAAACTTGGGAGACGTGGGTGTTAGGTGAAACGGTGAAGGGCGAAGGGTTCATGTACGGGGTGACATCCTGCAGAGGAGAAGACACAGGTGACCAGCGGCCACCTCCGCCCTAACCAGGACAAGGCGCAGACAGTGCAGGCTAGCAGCGGTCTGCTCGGCCAGGGAGGGGCTACTGGCCTCTCTTCTGGGGGCCCCCGCCCCAAGGGGACAGTCCCGCTCACCACGATCATGCGCGGGTTGAGCAGCGTCAGGTCCAGGTCGTGGATGTCCGGGTAGCGCGGGTAATCCTCAGCCATCTCGGCATACGAAAGGCGAGGCTGGCTGGCGCTCTGCAAAACCCCAACCAAGACGCTGTCCTTGCTCGGCCACAGCGAGTGTCAGGGCCACGTCTAGGCCCCTCCCCCTTGAACTCCATGGCCCCCCCAGCCAGGCCCCACCCGGCGCGAGGAGGCACAGGACAGGGTGCCCTGCGGAGAGACAACGCGGTCTACGGCCAGCTCCCAGCCAGCCCGCCACCCTCGGGCGTCTCCCCATCTCTCTGAAGCTGCTTCTCCATCTGCAAGATGGATGTGGCTTCTGAGAACAAACTGAGGACTGATGGGTGTGGGGGGGGGGCAGCGCATGGAGGAGGGCACTTGTGGGGATGAGCACTGGGTGTTATTTGGAAACCAACTTGACAATAAACTATTTATAAAAAAAAAAAAAGATGGGTGTGGCTTCTTCTGGAGTTTAAGTGAGAGAAGAGCTAACCCACAGCTGTCGTGGTTGACCCGGATCCCTCAAAAGATCTGCCTGAGTCCTGACTCCTGCTACCTGGGACCGCGGCCATGTTGGAAATAGGGTCTTTGAAGATGTGAGCAAGTTAAGATGAGGTCACACTGGATTAGGGTGGGCCCTAAATCCAATGACAGCTGTCCTTCTAAAAAGAGGAGAGGACACGGAGGGAAAAGACCACGTGACAGCAGAGGCAGAGACTCGAGTCACATATCCACAGCCACGCTGTGCCAAGGATGGCCGGCAGCCAGCACAAACTAGGAAGGCAAGGAACACCCCTCCCCCGAGCCTGTTGAGAGAGCAAGGCCCTGTTGATGCATGGACTTGGCGCTCTGGCCTTGAGAATTATGAAAAGAAAGGATTTCTGTGGTTTGTGGCCACTCAGCCCCAGGGCACTGACACGGCCACTGTTACCATCCCCGCATTCTGAGTGTTCTGGATTTCCCCTCCGCTCTCCCTGGGCACGGGGGCCACCACTGCTGGCTCCCAGGCTCGGCACAGTGGCCGCAAGTGCGGGTCACTGCTCTGTCCTGATCTCTCTCCCTGTGACTCCACTGCATCCTCCGCCCACTGCCTGGCCGGCAGCACCGGCTTCCAGTGCTTCAGCAGGTTTCTGCTCGGTAACCCTGCCCACCTCACCCGTCCTGTGCTCCTCACGCCGCCTCCAGCCTCGTCCAGCCAGGCTGTCCTCACCACAGACCGCTCTCCCCGGAGCCCCTGTGCCCTGCCCCACGCTGGCTGCTCTGCCGCAGGCCAACAGGACGCCGGGTGACCTCAGGCTGGCCTCCGTGGGCAAGAGCCAAACCAGGAAAGTCAGCTTGGAAACTAGGCGTCTGGACAACCTTCAGGGTCTTCAAGTCACTGCAGGGACCACTTTGAACAAGATGCCCCCTCCCCCTCTGCTTATCTCCGTAAACACCAAAGGAAAGGAAGAAAGGAGATTAACGGGAGGAACAGTAGTTTTTTGGTAACGCACGTACAAAAGTTCACTCATATCAGAAACAAAACCATAGAAAGCATGTTAAAAGTCTGCAGGCCGGAAGGACCCTTGAAAGCCAGCGCACAGACTAAGGGGAAGGTGGCTGGGAGAGCTCCCCCGCCGCTCAGCATCACCTGAGAGACCTGGACCACAGCAGAGGGAGCCACGGAGCTGCACACGACCTGACAGCAGCCTGCAGGCACCCGGCGTCCCCAGGCGGGGAACAGAGACCGTCCTTCTGCCACCCCGTGCCTTCGAGGACCCCAGCGCAGACCCGAGAGACTCACTGACTGACTTTCAGAGTAGCACACTCCTCGGACGAGCAGGGTGACAAGCTGGGAGCGCAGGATCAGGCCGTGCAAGGTCAGAGGGCGGAAGCGCTCCTCCATGGTCCAGTCTTCGCTCGGGGACTGGTCAGGGTATAGGTTGGGGTAGGGAGTGTATCTGTTACATAGAAACCAGACGCTGCCTAGCACACCCTCAGCAGGACTGCTGCTTGCTTCTCCCCCACGGCCCCAGCCAGCTCCCCAAGTCGCCAGGAAGCCGGGGAGCTGTCTCACCGCAGAGCGCCGGCCCCTGCGGGGCCCCCCACCCCCACCCCATGGGTGGGAGCCCGCGCGCTCACCTTCGCTCCAGCATCTGCTGCAGGAGGTCCTCCTTCTCGGCCGGCTCCTCGGGGACATGCTCGTCACACACGTTGCGCAGCTCACTGGACGGGTACGACTTCATGGACTGGCTCCGCCGGCGCTGTTCGCCCGCCCGGGTGAGGATGCTGGACTTCTGTGCGGGAAGGGTGGGAGGGGGGCAAAGGTTGCTTCCGGGGAGGCCACGGACTGCTGGGCACGGACACACCAGTGTGGCATCTACGTAGCTTGAGGACTTGGGTGTCAAAAGCATAAACCGACATAGAAACTGCCAAGAAATCTTCACAGAGGCTCAGGGGGCTTGGGATTGAAAGGAATTTGAGCCTCAGGGCCTGGAGATCCTGCGGTTTCTGGTGGCCCAACTTCCCTACTCCTTTGATTTGGGAACAAGACCTCAACTCTCCAAGGGGGAGCCCCTCCCTTACGTCATGTCGTCGGGGGGACCATCAGTGTACGTGCCCCCAGCCCCCAGAGCCAAGGGATGAGCACAAGGCCTGCATGAGGCAACGGGACCCTCACCCTGCCTGGATTTCAAATCGGGAGCTGAGTGGCGCCCCCTCCAGGGTGTCTGCCGGCCGCCCGCACCCCCGGCATGCCGCTCCTGTCTCCCCAGCTCTCCGTCCGTCCTGCAGCCTCCAGCTCGCTTCTTTTTCTGTCTTAAGTAGGCCAAAGTGCATCTCTGCCTCCGACAACTCCAGAAAGCTCCCCACTACCTCTTACACCATAAATCAGGCCAATTAAAACAAAAACTCCGTCCGCACGCTTGCTGGAGTGAGAATGGACACGCGTCCCGACGGCCTAAGAAGTCCACGTCTGCTATCCTGTCTACACTCACTGCCGCACGTAAGGAAGAGGCTGACTTTCCCAGGGAGCCAACCAGGGCACCCCATCTACAGGGTGGGGCGGGCACAGGATGAACGGACGCGTCAAAAAACCGCCTGCTTCTCGCTCACCGCTCCCCCACCCCCACCCCGGGCTGTCGTACTTTGAATTTGATGTTGTTACTGATGAGCTGGTTGCCCTTCATGAACTCCTTCTCGTTGCCCCGGTTCTCCGTGACCACCGGGAAGGCGTGGTGGACTGTGGTGCGCAGGATGCTAACCAGAGACTGGATGCGGGTGTGCGGGTAGACGTAGGTCAGGTTGGGCTCCATGATGTCACTGGCTCTCAGTCTGGAGTGGGGAGGAAAGCCGTCCAGACTCACCAGAAAGCCCGCAGCCCTCAGGAGCGAGCCATCTTCTGCACTCCTGGACCACGGGCTCCCCTGTTCTGAACCACCTCTAGCAGTTCCTCTGTACTTCTGTCCCTTTGCAAATACCCTTCCCTATGCCTGGGAATACCCTTCCTCGCTCTGCCAGACCAGTGGGCCTTTCCTGATCCCTCAGCTCAATACAAAATGTCCCCTCTACACAGACCGCATCCACTTGTCCAGGTGATAAGCCGCCCCCCCGCCCCGGCCCCCCAAGGCACACTGCCTGTATTACCATTGAACTGTTAATCGTACTACCGGAACTTTAAAAAAAAGCGTGGGCTGTCCCTGTAGACCAGAGGGCAACTACAGGTTACAGGTCAAACCTCTCGTGCCCATTTACTCTCCTCTGTGGCCGCCTCTGCACTGCAGTGGCCGAGCTGAATAGTTGTAACAGAACCCAAGGCCTGCCAGGCCGAAAATACTTACTCTCTGACCCTTTACAGAAATCTGCTGATCTCTCTGTGGGACTCTCAGGGCCTGGTGGGAGACCCTGACATAGGCGGCCCAAGCCGTTTGTGGGCCGATGGAGAATCTGGGGATTGAGCCCAGAATAATCACTGCTGGTAGCATGACACCATGAGGCACGTGGGAAGCAGGCTAGGTCTCACCCAACAAGGGCTCGGCAGACCCTTAAACGTTCAGTCATAACGTGGACCTCATCAAGAGGCCACCCTTCGCGTTTCACCGGATGCCATGGGACCCTGCTCACCTCTGCCCCCACCAGGCCCCTTTGCCCCCCACCCTCAGCTCCCCGCCACACCCACGTGCTTCCTGCAGTCCAACCGCAGGACCTTAATTACCACCTCCCACCCTGATACAAACATTCCTCCAGGCCCCTCTGAAACTAGGACACAAATACAAGGCGTGGCCTCACTTGTCCATTTCCACCTCCGTCTCCCACTCCAGAAGTGGTACGCCTCGCAGGCCCACGTGGATGTCATAAATGCCCTTATTGAAAAAGTCCCCTGTCCATTTGGCCACCTGAAACACGAAACGAAGACTTGAAAAGATGCTGCTGTGGGGGTGGGGGACCTTGGCTGCGCCCGAGGGAGGCCTGGAAGGGGAGCACTCACCATCAGAGTGATCATAATGGGGAGCCCGTAAGTGATCTCGTTGGTAGACTCAATCAGGATGACCGTGAGACTGATGGTCATGCGGACGACCCCACCCAGGAAGGCTGCGGCGCCGATCAGGGCGAAGGTCCCCGAATAGACATGGCCCAAGCCGATGTAGCTGGGGACAAAGGAAACCGAGACCCTGGCTGAGGATCCCAAGGTTTCCACACTTGTGCACCTGGACACACGGGCGCACTCACGTGCACACGCGCACACACACATGGTACCTTTTGAGGACATTGGCAACTAAACGCCCGAAAGCAGCTCCACACAGCAGGGCAGGCACAAACAGGCCGCTTGGAACAGAAATGCCATAGGTCCAACATGCGAGCAGGAAATAGAGAGCGAAGAACAAGGCCAGGGTGACGGGGCTGAAAGTACCTGCAAGGCAAGGGCCGCCCTGAGTCCCACCGCCGGGGGCCACCAAGGCCCACCGGGCTGCCCTGGCTCCCTCCAGGTCCTTCCGTACCCCACTGGTCCACCTCCGACGCCGGAGGCAGAAACTCTGGCCTGCTCTGGGTGGGTATTACAAAGGAAAAGTCCTATCTCTGCTCAGAATTGAGGACAAGCTTGGCTGTGTCCGTAGGCCAGAAGAAGGGGCAGAGAAACAGTAACTTGCTCCCTGCAGAAAAGACAAATTGCCCAAGAACAGGCAGGCTCACGGGTCCTCACCATCCTGGTGGAAAAGCTGAAGGATGGCAGACTCCTGGGGATTGAAGAAGAGCGTGGCCATGTCATTGTAGGTCTCGTTCGGACAGAAAAAGGTCTTGATACTTGAATTGACATCTTCTGATGTGACCTGAGACACAGGAATCAAAAAGCAGGCAGGAGGTCAGTGAAGGGTCAATACGCCTGCCCAGGGTGTTCAGAGTCTTCAAGTGGGATGTCTCCGCTAAGGTCGAGAAAGTCTGGCTCGCAAGCTTTACCCAGAAATTAAACCTGTAGCAAAAAACAGATCTCTAGCCGCGAGCAGCCAAGCGTGGTACTGTCTTCCTTGTGTCTCGGGGAAGATGAAAGGCCCAGGATGAGGGCTCTCGAGTTACTACAATTAAATTCGCCATGGATCTGCCTCTGCTTCTGCTCCCAGTCCTAATTTAGTAGGGGACACTGCGGGAAGCCTGGCCCGAGAGTCCCGTGGGCTGTGGGAAGGGGGGGCAGGTGACAGATAAGTTGCTGTGAGGTGACAGGTGATGGCAGAGGACAGGCCAGGTTCCTGCCTGACCCGAAGCCCCCACTCTGGTTCCAAATGGAAAACGCCGCTGCCCTGCATTTTCTGCAGGAGAAAAGCCGCTTCCACACGAGGCCTGGAGGTAGATGCCGTGCTCCTGGCGGCCTCTCCCTCCCCGGCCCGTCTGGCTGAACAAAACCCCAACCGGGAAAAGAGGTGACCTCTCCACGATTCAGACCTCTTGCCCAATTCTGTGTGGGAAGAGGGCATCGTGGCACCGGCCTGAGTCACCAGAGGACAGGGCATTCGGGGCAGGACAGTCCTGGTGTTCTAGCCGATGGGGCACAACTGTACAGGTGGGCACCTAACGCTGTGCGGGCGGATACACTCTTCCTACAAAGTTTGTTACAAGGAATGGATTTTGACTGGATTCAGGTCTACTGAGAACAGTCTAGAGATGCCCTTCCATGAACACTATCACCCCAGCAGGTGATGGGTTTGCCCAAGCCTGCCGGGTGAGCCTGCCTGGGCGATACAGCTGGATGAGGGCTGCGGGAGGACACGGGTCGGCGCCCCCTACTGGGAGAACCTGGCAGGGAGCAATGTGTGTGGATCCGGGCCGAGTTGATGGCGGAATGATCAGCAGGTACAGTGTTCCCCAAACTATGCCTGGAGGAACCCCAGTCCAGAGGGCTCCCGGGAAAGGGTCCTGCACTCGAGCGCACCGAGATGCAGCACAGTGCTCGCTGGAGATCAGGGAACCTGCTGAAAGCAGAGCTCTGGCTCCGTGTGCAGGACTGGCCTCTAAATCCGCCCTTCTGCAGCCACCGCAGGAGAGGCGTTTCATTTTGTGAAGCTTCAGTAGCCACACCCAGGCAATGGGAATAATGCCAACCTCATGTGATATGCTACTGAGAGACCATGGTCAAGACCTCACTTTGTCTTCCCACCTGTAAAATGGGGTAACAACACTAGCCAGCATGGAGGATTAGATTAGGATTAGATGGAGTCATGCGCGTGAAGTGCTTAGTGGAATGCCTTCACCCGATAAACATTCCAAACGTTCAGAACTCTTCCTGGAATCTTAAAGGCCTTAGGAAATCCTGTATTTTTTTTTTTAATTTTTCTTTTAATGTTTTATTTATTTCTAGGAGAGAGAGAGAGAGAGAGACAGCGTGAGCAGGGGAGGATCAGAGAGACAGAGGGAGTGACAGACTGAAACAGGCTCCAGGCTCTGAGCTGGCAGTCAGCACAGAGCCCGACGCGGGGCTCGAACCCACGAACTGCGAGATCATGACCTAAGTGAAAGTTGGACGCTTAACCGACTAAGCCACCCAGGCGCCCCTAGGAAGTCCTGTATTAAAGCAACCCGTTTAAGGGGCACCTGGGTGGCTCAGTTGGTTAAGCGTCTGACTTCGGCTCAGGTCATCATCTCACAGTTCGTGGGTTTGAGCCCCGTGTCCGGCTCTGTGCTGACAGCTAGCTCAGAGCCTGGAGCCTGTCTTTGGATTCTGACCCTCCCCTGTACACGCTGTCTCTCACTGACTCTCAAAAATAAATTAAAAAAATAAAATAAAATAAAGCAACCTGTTTAATTCTGGTTAACCTGTGAGACTGCAGAATTCTTTTCTGTCTATTCCTGAAGCGCACATATTGACGTTGTTCTACGGGACACATTTGGAAAAGGCTGGTCTGGTAATGAAATCACCTCAGGACTAACTAGTGACAGTGGCTAGCAAACTTTTTCTATAGAGAGCCATACAATAAATCTTTCAGACTTTGTAGGCCATATATAGCCTCTGTCGTATATTCTTTTTTTTTAACGCTCTTTAAAAATGTACAAACCATTCTTAGCTCCGGGGCTACACAAAATCAAGCAGTTGCCAAAGGCCAGATCTGTCCCCTGGGCCATAGTTTGCTAACGCCTGATTGAACACAGGCTGTTTGTGGGTGCTCCTGGGAACACAAAAGGGACAGCCATCCAAGACAATGTCCCCAACAAGGCCTTGAGGGAGCTGAGCAGCTACTCAGGGGCAACAAGAAGGCAGGGGACTTGGCGAATGCTCCTGAGCCCCCACCCTAGAGGCCAGAACCCTGTGTCCAGCTGACCACATATGGCTCTCTAAACCCAACAGTTTGGACCAAAAAATTGCAGGGCAAAGCTCCAATGTCTCTGTCACCGACTCTTCTCTTTCAGAGAAAATCCTGGAAAATATTAAATACTCCTAAGAAGAAAAGAGGAGAAATGGAAAAAGAACATATGCTAGTAAATGACCTAAACCCAGTAAGAACCAGAAGATGCCAGAAGAGCCAGATCACTGATCCCCGAAACAGACATTCCTTTCTCCTCCTCTTGGGGTAATTCTCACAGTCACGGTGAGGCTAGTGGGCACCTTTCAGGGGTGAGGAGGCAGAAGAGTAACCTGGGGCTTGGCGAAGAAGTGACGGTCTGCTTCCTGAGCTGGTTCAACAGAAAGAGGGAGAAGGTGTCCCTCCTATGACAGCCATGAGTCTTCACAAAAGTTGAAAAGACAGAGCGTGCACATTCTGGCTTCAGTAAAAAGGCTATCACAGATTCCTCTATCGCCTAGCACTCTGACTCAAGTATAGAGCAATGAACCCAATACATCCACTAGCCCTAAGTACAGGCAGGTCATACATTTCTGGATTCTTCTTCTTTTTTTTTTTTTTTTTTGCATGTATAGGACAAAGGTAGCAGGTGCACAGGGGTTACCTGGAGCTGGAATGAGTCATTACCGATTTGACTCGACGAAGATATCTGTCGGCATTCTCCTAACACCATTGAGGCCATAAACACCACCACCGTGGTTACCAAAGACACCAAGAGGCTCTCCAAGACTCTAGGAAGCAAAGCATAGCTTTTGTTACAAGATAAAAAAACACCCCAGTCTTGGGAACTAGAAAGACACAACCCTGTCTCCCCCCAACCTTCACGTCCCCAAAGAGCAGGCCCGACAGCGCCTAGCCAGCCAGCACACGTGCAGAATTTGTCAGCGACTCGCTCATCCCAGCAAGGCGCGTAAACAGGGGGCTGACAGTAACGCGGCTGCTGCATCCACATCAACTCTTGGAGGAACAAATGGCCCTCCCTTTTAGGTCCCGGGCTGAGAGCCTCACTGACCCTCTGACTCTGTCGTGTGTCCGAGTGGCTGGGAGTCAGCCAGCACCTCTGACGTAAGTTAAGCTCAGACTCAGCCTTTTGGCCTGTCTGACAAATAGAGGAGATCCACAGCCCCGTCTACGTTTTCTGTCTTAGACACGAGATCAAAGCTGGCGTGGGAAGGGGGGTCAGTTCGCATGATCGCCATCCTGGGGACGGGTGGCCCGGTCCACATGACGCCCGGGAGCCACGGCAGGCTGGGGGGGGGGGGGCGACTGCATAGGTACCTGACGAGCTTAGGTTTCGGGTGCACGTTTCGCATACGGTACTTTGCAAGCCTCTTGTTCAGGCAGTTGAATGTGGCTCCCAGGAGGCCCCCAATGACCCCCATCACGACGAAGAAACCCAAATCCATAGCTGTCCAGAGATGACATTTTTTATCAGAGTCAGAGCACTGAGAGAAGGGGCGAGGGAGAGAGAAAAACCACAGTGCCCGTGAGAATAGGAAGGGACGGAAGCGGAGAAGACAGAAGGAAGAGGCGAGGCTGCTTTCTTTCTACAAGAGCCGATGCGGTGCCGGGAGCCTGCCCAGGCCGAGCACGGCGCCCGCACAGGAGACTCACGGGGCAGAAACGCCCCTGCAGAAGCCACACCTACCCTTCTGACCACTTCCCTCTGGCCCTTAATACTTAAGAACAGTTTTCACAGGTCAAGTAAAAAAAAAAACAAAAACCAACACTATGGAAGAAAAGATAAAACATACCTTAAACTCGCCAAAGTTCAGCAATCCAGGGAGCTGGAAGGAACCCCAACTTCCAAACTGGATCCCAGAACGAAAGAAGTTGAGGGTGAAGGTGGCGGACATGGAACAGAAGAGCTAAGGGCAAAGGGGACACACGAGAACACGCGATAGCGACGAGGCCTACTTTCTGCCGGACACCGCCTCGGGAAGCCTACCGTCCCGCACAGACACCTGCACAGAGACCCGCAGCTCCGGGTCTGCATACAGAGCTCTGGTAACCACCACCATGGGCACACCTCGAGTTTGAGAAGCCGTGAGATCAGGCTGTAAGAAGTCTGCATTCGGCAGCCTACTGGAGAGCCCGTTTATTTAGAGCCTGTTATGGATTGGATCTCGTGCCCAAAGAGGAACAGCAAATACGAGAGGAGGCACACGCCAGTCTGAGGTAGGATGCTGCAAGGGTTCAAGTCCAGGCTCTGCCACTGGCTGCCTCTAGCCTCAGCCGGTCTCCCACTGTCACGTCAGACAGCTCATCCAGAGAGGATAAGGGCAGTCTGATTTGGGGATGGGGGCATTTATATGAAAAGTACAGAAAAGTCCACAGTTTGGAGGTTATGGGGCTACAGCAAAGGACTTTCTGATACAGTCACACCCCTTCTGGTCTCATCCAAATGACAGGTGAACATGCCAAGTAAGAGATGTCCAGTTTAGTTTTAGGGGGAGCGGTTAGGTTTAAGAGAAGGTTTCCACTCCAAGTCCTTCTTACCACTTTCCACGTGAGCCCTTGGTTCCAGAAGGATGAGCCCTCCTCCAGACTGAACAGAGTCCCCCCGATGGGAGCCCCGAAAGCTGCAGCAACTCCGGCAGCCGCCCCCGCGGATACAAAGTCCCGCTTGTCCCTGAGGAGAGAAGACACACAGGTGGTTCACCCAAAAAGAGAGTCCTCAGGCCGCAGAAGGCAGTTTTTTACTCCTTGTTCCACCAACATGGTGCCTCATGACGCAGGAACAGTCAGGGCTCATGAAGGGCAGGTGTCTGGGGAGGCCGACTGAGCAGCAATACGGTTTACCTAAGAGCCAAACACACTCCTGAGTCGGAGGGGCTCCCTGACGTCAGTCTGCTCAGAACACGGACAGGGTGCAGACTTCTGTCGGTCACTGCTGAGCCACGTTCTCACCAGATCTTTCTTCCAGAAAGCCACACGTCAGTGAAATATGTTGAAGTGCTGCTTATACGCAGAGGAGCAGCAACCAGAGGCCGGCAGGAGGGCCGATACGAGAAGACGGACAACTCTGACCCTGGTTCCCTGATTCCAAAGGCCCAGCAAGGCGCACAGGCCAGTAACACACACAGATCCCATAAGGTGAAAAAGCACCGGGAAGGGCGCCTTGTAACCCAGAGAGGAGCTAACCGAGCACTCCGCTTTGGAACATCAAACACATTCTCGACAATATGCCCGTGGGCTTTCTCGGTCATGTTTTCAATCCTGGACTGTCTTCTTCGTTCCCTGAAATGGTTCTAGGCCTCAGGTCATGACAAAACAGAAGCCACGCATGGCCCTAGTGCTTATTCTCAGAGACCTTCAAAGCCCCCCTCCCTTCTGACAGTTGGGTTCCCCACGCAGCCTGCCTGGCCAGACACCCCATAGGCCAGCTTCAGTGACTGCCATGGGGTCTGAGCGGCAGGAAATGAAGCGGGTTGTGTTTTCATACCTGTCACTTCGGAAATAGGGGAAGTTAAATTGGATCTTCCGTAAGGAGATGCTCTGAAACTAGAGGAAAGGAAAACAAAGTCAGAGGGGGGGTCCACAGGAACCAGGCACCGGAAAGTCCCCTTGGCTCGAGCACACCCAGCCAAATGGGTTATAAGAAGTCCAGAAGAGAAATATGGGAGGAAAAAAAAGACATTATTTTTGGGAAGAACTTCTTTTCCTGCCCCCAAATTTCTAGGATCTTGGGAAATCGCGTTTTGTACACAGTTAACAAGTCAGGAAAAAAGAGGAGGGGTGCCTGGGGGGCTTAGTCAGTTAAGTATCTGACTCTGATTCAGTTTCAGCTCAGGTCATGATTCCGGTGTCACGGGATCGAGCCCTATGATGTGCTCTGTGCTGATAGCGTGGGATTCTCTCTCTCTGCCCTCCCCCCACTCACAGACGCACACGCGTGCGTGCACGTGTTCTCATGCTCTCTCAAAATAAATACATCTTTAAAAAAAAAAAGTAAAAAGGGAAACTACTGAGCAAAAGGAGAATGTGAAAGCTGCAGCAGAAGATAAAGTGAGCTCTGCTCAGCAGGGTCAGTAAGAAAGGAGAGAGACATCTTCCAACGTGTTCAGCAAAATCTCTCGCTGCTGCCCAGCCCCTGCCTGGCCTCCTTCCGCCTCTCCACTTGCTTCTGGGAGGCCGGGCGCCTGATGCGAAGGAAATGATGCAGCAGCAAGAGGCAGATCAGAAGATGGGCTCAGGACAAAAGACTCTTCTCTCCTTGGCTTGGACGACCCAGAGCCACAGCGGCTCTTCTCTCAGAGCGTGAGGGCTAACTGTCTACGAGGAAACAGAAACTCCTCCAACTGGCAGCCGGGGAATCCAGAATAACCACTGAGAAGGGGGAGCTCTAGAGTCCAGAGCCAGCGGCTCAGTTTCCTCGAATGAGAATGGGGATGACGGAGGACAGCCAAACCCTTGACGTGGCTTAAAGAAAAAGAGGCCAGTGGATGGAGAGCCTGGCCCTGAGGGCACTCAGCAAACAGCAGCTGCTACTCCAAAGGGTGTCAGCATAGACCTGGGCCTGAAACCGCCTTGGTCAAGGCTTCCAGCCTCTTGGGGTGTGGAAGCACCGAGACGCTCCATCAGGCCCCCGGGCGTGCAGGTGCTTGGCGACGGCTATGGGCGCACCGAGTGTCTGTGTCTTGAACAGAATGTCCCATCGCTGCTCTGGCGACTGGGCAGGGCCTTGTTAAAACCTGGAGGTACCAGTTACCCAATCTCCTGGGTGACAGGGCAGTTTCCACCTCAACCCAAAGTGACATCCGATTCCAAAGCCACGTTAGGTGCCCCCGATGAACTGGTTATCAAGTCAACCGCGGACGTGCCCCTGCCCAGGGCCCACTCTGAGGGACGTCCCCTCCCAGCCCATCAAGTCTTACCTGCGGGAGGCCAGCTCCCACCACTGCTCCGCTGTGGATCATGGGGCCTTCCTTCCCCACAAAGAGCCCTGGGAACAGGTGGAAAAGGGGAGACCATCAGTCAGCAGACACCCCTCTTGGCTGGGAGACCTTTGCTATGTAGACCTTTCTCTTGACGGCCATACAACAGAGGTGATTATGTGACTTTGTAAGAGAAAGTGTCAAATAAGAGAAAATACTCTTTAAATTGAGGTATCAGGAAACTATAGGCTGCGGGCTAAGACAGGTTCAATGTCTGTTTCTATAGCCTGAGAACGAAGAATAGTTTTTACATTTTTTTCCTTAAAGATTTTATTTTTAAGCAATCTCTACACCCTATGTGGGGCTCGAACTCACAACCCCCAGATCAAGAGCCACACGCTCCACCGACTGAGCCAGCCAGGCGCCCCTGGTTTTTACTTTCTTACACGGATCTATTTCAAATGGTTACATAGGTTTAAGTACCTACATAATACCTCCCCTTTTGCCTCTTGGCCCATAAAGCCTAAAATATTTACTGTCTGGTTGTTTACACAAAAAGCTTGCTGACTTAGCTAAAAGCAAAGTCCAGGGACCAACTAGATAGTCCCATTACTCCAAATCTAAATGTGTTTGTCAGGCATCTCTGGTAACTAACTAACGGTGTCTGCATTTAAAAAAATGATCCATCAACAAACAGGGCAGGGGTCTGTTTGAGGGCAGGCCCTTCACATCCAGATTGACTTAATTTACATGCACAATGCTCCCTGTCATCTTCACCTCCTGAAGACTTGGAAGGATAAAAGTCAGAAAGAGCCTCCTTACCTCCAGCCACACTGAACAGCACTCCAAAGACTTTGCAGAGCAGGGTCCGGAGACGGACAATTCCAGGCACCTTCACACCATTCAGGTAGCATTTGATTTCGGGGATTCCAGAACCTGCTGCCACTGGCTGATGGGGGAGAGCAGGACACCCATAAACTCAAAATCCACTGGTCCCATGGCTTACCGGCAACGGCCTCACCAACAAGGGCGGGCTGACCTTCATCAGCATGGGCATCACCTGGTGGGCCCCACTCTGGGTTTCTGACTCAGCGGGTCTGAGGGGAAGCGGAAACAGCTGCATTGCTAACAGGTTCCGGTGAGTCAGCATCACCTGGGGAACCTGCATCTACCAACGCAGGCTCTCCACTTCCAGGGATTCTGATCTCATTCATTTGAGCTGGGTACCTGCCATTTTTAAAGTTAGTTTAAAGTTGTTTTTTTTAAAGCTCTCCAGGTGACTCTAACATGCTGCCAAGGTTGAGAACCAGCCTCCTAATTGGGACTTTTTCCCTGTAATCTCACCAGAGGCTGAAACCTTTACTTTCAAAAACAACTCTTAAGTGTAGGGGGGGCCGCTGTCTGCAGGAACTTTGTTACGTCTAAGTCAGTTTCCCGGCATTTCCAGCAGTGGAGATGAAGGAATCCAAAACTTCATTAGCAAAAAAGCAACACCCACACCACCTCACCTCGATCAGAACGAGAAGGCTCGCCAGGAAGACAAAGGTCAAATTGAAACCCAAGAGCTCGAGGAGGGACAGGGCAAGGCACCCTTTCTGGCTGCATTCTTCCACCGCTACAGAACTGGGTTAAGGAACACACGCTCGCCAGTGAAGGGCGTTCCTGTCATCACCTGAAACGGTACGATGTCTCTTCCTGTTCTCCATACACAAACTTAAAAAAAAAACAAAACTGCCTGAGAGGTCTTCTACGTTAGGGACCATTTTTAAATTCTGAAATACTGATGTGGAGAACAAAGGCAAAAGGAATGTAGAAAAACTCGAATCTCCTTAAAACCTGCAGCCCACTGACAAATCCTTGAGGCAGGCAGAGTGATCTTCTTCCAGGAGCTCAACTGACTGGCCGTTAATGCTTAGTGCTCGAGGCAAAGGGCAACCCAGGTTTGACATTTGCTAGACCTCCAGGATCCTATCAGTCTTCTTTAACTTATGAAATCCCTTTGGAAACCTCCCTTATCTCAACCCCCAACCCCAATCATCCCTCAAACAAATGGCCCACTGGATACACACCAGAAGGGTTTCACAACTAAGGTTTTACTAGACACGGTAAATAACCTTAACAGCAGCTAGCCCCTCACGGCCCTGGAAACCTTGCTTCCAAATTCCTTAAAGACTTAGCGCTATCCCTGACCCCCTCCAGGCTTAAAGGTATATAATCAGTCACGCCTCACAATCCCAGGGCAGCTCTTTCTGCCCATGGGTCCTGTCCCCGTGCTTTCCTAAAACCACCTTTTTCTGCATCGAAAACATCCCAAGGATCTATCTTGACCATTCGCTCCTGGACCCCAACATTTCACATCAATACTTCACACGTCATAAAAAGTAACAAACACCCTTCCCCCCATAGCCCTCACTTTAACAAATCCTGAATTTGCTCCAGGTTATTTATTTTTTTTTAATTAAAATGTTAGATACTATTAAAAATAAAATCCTTTGTTTCCCTCCCACTCTCCCCTCAGAGAAACCACTAAGCTGAAATTATTGTGTGTCCTTCTGTGTATTTTCATACACAGCCGTATCGTCGTATGTGTTTCTAAGACTAAAATAACGGGACGGCATCTTACGTACTTTCTACAATTTCGTCCTTTCTCTCCTTCAACATCAAGTTTTTGAGAATTAGCCATGTTGATATACACAGCCCTGGTCCATTCATTGTAAATTCTGCATAAAATCACACCATTCGAACCCACTACGATGCTTCTATTCTCCCACTTGGTGTGATTTCACCTTTCTGCCATCACAAGGCTGTAACGAACATGTATTTTCACAGGAAAAAGAGGAAGTCAGCAGCGGCATGAGGTACGCCGTGCTACCTATTTGGCTGGCATCTCCCTGGTTAGTGATGAGGGGAGCCCCTTTCCCCAGGTTTACTTACTGACCACTCAATTTTCCTCTTCTGAGAACTGCCTGTTTACGTCTTTGCTCATTTTTCTACTGGGCTTTTTCCTTACGGAGAAGCAGGTCTTCCTGAGTCCCAGATACGAATTACTTGCCTCTTAAATGTAGAGTGAACAACTTCTCCTAGGCCGTGGACTCGTTTTCCACTTTGTTTATGGTGTTTTGTGGTGGTTTGGGGTTTTTTTGTTTGTAAGAAAAACAAACTTGGGGCGCCTGGGTGGCTCAGTCGGTTAAGCATCTGACTTTGGCTCAGGTCATGATCTCACGGTTTGTGAGTTTGAGCCCCGCGTCAGGCTCTGAGCTGACAGCTGGGAGCCTGGAGCTGCTTCGGATTCTGCCTCCCTCTCCCTTTGCTCCTCCCCTGCTTGCACTCTTGTCTCTCAAAAATAAATAAGCATTAAAAAAAACTAAAAAAAAAGAAAAAAACTTACTTTGCTGTGGTCAAGTTTATTGATCTTTTCCCTTTCACTCTGCGCCTCCTGGAGTTTCAAGACATTATTCCCTACTCTTGACATCACACGGTCTCTTCAAGTTCTGTTTTGCTTATTTACGTTTTCAATCCATCTGGAATTAATTTATTGTACAAAGTAGGAACCGATACTTTTCTAGATGGATAACCAATTTCCCAGCATCTATCTGGGATTTGTTACATTATCTATCTCTTCCTCACGGACTCACAACATTAACTCTGTCATTCACCGTACTTCTGTACACGTACAAGCCAATTTCTGTTTCTGTTATCTTCCGCTGGCCTAACTGAGAATTCCTGCCCCAATGTGGTGCGGTTTCGATGACTAGATCTTAAATCATGCAAGCCTTCATGCTGAGTAGGACAAGTTCCCCTGCTTGTTCAAAACTGTCTCAACTAAATTTAGGAAGAGAATTTTCCAGTTCCTCGAAAACTCTATTGGGATTCTGAATGGAACACCCTGAATTTATAGATGAGTGGGGAGAACAGGCGTCTTTGTGGTATCTGGGTCTTACCAACCTGAATACAAGTCTCTATCAAACTCTTCCTCCTTCAAAGACCATTAAAGACTGAAGCCGAGGGGCGCCTGGCTGGCTCAGTCGGCTGAGCGTTTGACTGGCTCAGGTCATGATCTCACGGTTCGTGGGTTCGAGCCCCACGTCGGGCTCTGTGCTGACAGCTAGCTCAGAGCCTGGAGACTGCTTCAGATTCTGTGTCTCCCTCTCTCTCTCTGACCCTCCCCTGCTCATGCTATCTCTCTATCTCTCTCAGAAATAAATTAAAAAAATAAAAATAAAAATAAAAAAACCTGAAGCCGAATGGCTAATAAAAACTCTCCAATAGGCCACGTCTGCTATTCTTAGGTAAAAAAGCAGAGTCAGAGACTGCTGGCATCTGGGAAGGCCAAGAACCAGGAAAAGGATACACGTCTGGACCACTCCAAACTTGAGCTGGGTGAAGAGGCGCACGAAGAAGTCCACAAAGAGACCCACCTGTGAAGAGCAAGCGAACTGTCACACAGTGTTTCCCCAATGGGGTGCAGGCACTCCGCCCAAATGCTGGCACGACCCCCTGGCCCTTCCTGGTTGGCACGTACGCCCGGGTTACCAGCAGGCAATGCGGGAACAGCTTTCCTCGTAGGAGCTGACTCTCCAGACTCCCTCCCAGCCTGTCCCTGCTAGCCGGGGACCGCCGCCTCTCCAAAGAACAAAGGAAACAGCTATGCCGAGAGAAGGATAGTCAAGCAAAGAGGGAAAAGGATGCCGGGAAAGGTGTGAAACTGAGGAAGGCATCCCGTGACTACAGTAATATCCAGAATCGTGGACTGCTCAGCATTTTCCAAAGGCGGTTTCAGATGAAGAATTCCAATAATATCATCGGTGATGCTTAGCTAAGTATATAGCTTAGAATATAACTTTGAAAAACAGCATTTACTCAGAGGTATATGGCTTTTTCCGGTGTGTTTTTACTCGTTAATACTTTCTAAGTTGCTATTTTGGCTGACAGGTGATGATGGCCCTGGTAAGTAAGAAGAAACCATGCTCCATCAGTCCAGGGTAAGCCCCAAGTCTCCGCTCTGGGCTTAAAAGAACTTCAAGGAAGGCTTATGATTTGACGGATTCAGGATCAAAGGCTTCACGCCTTTGACTCTGGCCTTCCCTCAAGCCAATGCCCAGAGGCTTTCAAATACTGAAGCAGCAGTTTGTGACCATGAAAGGATAAGACAGCCAGTAGCAAGAGGAGCTGGTTGCTAAGCTATAAAGGAGTCTGCCTTCCAATCACAGGAAGGTGCATGGTACAGTTGCTAGTGTTGATAAATGGCCGTTCAGAGGAGTTAGATATGAAAGTTGCAGAAAGACTCGACAAGTAGATGGCTCGTGATTATGTCTATTGCCGGGAAATTTGCAACCAGAAACATACAGAGCAAAACAGACACTCTGAAATTTCAGTAAAACAATTCCATCAACCCAAGTTTCCCCCACACTGGCATCCAGCAGAATGTCACTAAGAAGGCCTTCTGAATGCCATCTGTCTCAACTAGTAAGATGTTCTTGACCTCTGAATTTACTACAGTAAAAATCTGATAAATGCCAGAAAAATAAAATTGGTCAGCCTTTGTGGCTGTGTTACATTAAATACATGTTTGCACTTTACAGGTATATCAGAGAGTCAAGGATGAGACGCGCCGTCGGCCCCAGAGACACAAACAGGCTGCTGTTTAGGAATACATGTAACCCCTGTCCTGGACTGAACATTCGCGTCCCCCCAAAGGTCATCTGTTGAAATGCTAACCCCCATCGTGACGGCATTAGGTGGTGGGGCCTGTTGGGTGGCTTCATAAAGTCCTGAGCATGGAGCCCTCATGACTGAGATTAGGAGGCTTATAAAAGCCCCAGCAGAGCTCCTGCCCTTCAGCCCTGTGAGGACACAGCCAGGGGCCAGGAAGCAGGCCCTCACAGGACACAGACCTGTCGGCACCACTGATCTGGAACTTCCTGGTTTCCAGGGCTGCGAGACAGAAACATCTGTGGTTTAAGTCCCTGCAAACAGTGTCTTTATTGCAGCAGCCCCAAAGGAGGAAGATAGCCTATTCTAACACTGTACTGGTGGAAAATCACATCTGACGTATCATCCTGACTGCTGACCTGTCCGGTTTCTCTTCCCCAGCTTTAAGCACGGCCGGGCCAACAGTTAGGGTCCCAGGCCTTGGGTCACAACGCCAAGTTTGGCAGGTGTTTCATAATCTTTCCTGGTCTGTGATTCATGTGCGAGCAAGCTGACCCCAGGCCCCTGTGCACTCAGGCATATTCCTCCACCCACAGCCGCCAGCTCTACCTTCTAGATAAAACAAGTCATGTACAGGAGAGGAGGCCAGGACAGCCCAATAAATCCACTGAGGTCTACAGAGTCCTGGGCACGTCATGCTAAGGGAAAGGGTATGACGGTTGGTTTTGTTTCACTACTACTTTGCTTTTTCCCTACAGAGTGACCTCAATTTCCACTCAGTACTGTCCCCACTATGTGGTCCACCTGACGGGACAAAGCTATGGTCCTGACCAAGCCCTTAAGCACTTTTAAGAGTCCCAGTGATGTCTGCTTTACTTTCATAAAGAGGAAGCAAGAGATGTATGAAAACAGTGTCAGGATCATTATTTGGAGGGCGAGGGGATGGGGTGGGGGGAGAAAGACAGAAAAGGGGGTCTCTGCTATCATGACAAATGCCTTGCCATCTGACCCCTCCCAGCCCCCTGGGCCGCCACGTCCCCACGCCCCGCCTGCTCACCAGCCCGGTGCAGACTCCAATGGCAAACACCATCATCCACTTCACCGCCTCATACCTGCGACCTTTCTGTTCACACAGAGAAAGACAGACTCGGTTCATTATACGGCTTTCGTAGAATATACACGTCTTGGACAGCCAAGGTGAGACTAGATCCCACAGGGACAGCGAGCATGGTAGTGGTGTCGGGTACAGCAGGCGCTTTACAAGGCCAGAAGGATACAGGCTATGCTGTAAGAGGCTGGGCCAGCTGCACTGGCTGTGGGGACTTTGGTTGGAAGGGAAAGGGTTTCAGGAGTAAATGCTACATCTCACGGAAGAGGCTAAAAGCCACGGGGGTGAGGCTATTCACAGGAGCATTTCGATGGGAAAAAGAAGCTACTGTGAGATCTCTTCAGTCCCAAGAGATCAATGAGGGATTCACCTTATTGTCCATGGTCTCCAGAACTTCCAGGTAAGGGTCATTGATACAGCGATCGTAATCCAGACTCTGAAAGACAAACAGGAGTAGAAAAAGTCACCACGACACAGGAACTATTACCGAAGGCTGAAAAGGGATAAAGTTCCGGCTTCCTGCTACCCCAAGTGTGGGCAGGTAGGGCAGTGGAGCTGTAGCACCCAGGGTGGGGGGTGGGGGGGTGCAGCTGGTCAGAAGCGCAGCATCTCAGACCTTTGACCTGTCACATCAGAATCAGCACTGGACGTGCACGAACGTTCTGGCCGTGCGGCTGCAGGGGCCTGCTTCAGGAAAAGCGTTCCATTACCTGTCGGTAAACATCCTGCTTCTGTGAAACATGAAAAGACCTTGGGCTATCGTCAGCATTACTCAACTTCTCCCACTACATGAATAAGAGTTTCAGTTAACCAGAACCAAATTCATTGACAACATCAGTTCATTGCAAGTATCTTTGGGATTTAGCTTCCATGAGAAGGAGGTTGGTCACGAGCCGAGCCAGAGTGGAGGGTATTTTAAAAAGCAACCTCAGTTTAAGTTGGAAAGAGGCACAGATTCAGCACAGCTCCTAAAACTTCGTCGACGGCAGTGTTCCCTGAACCGTGAGTCATGGAACACAGCTATTCTGCAACAGATCTGCGTATGTGCCAGAGACATCTTGAGAAACAATTCAGAGGAACTAATTTTATTTCTTCTGTTTTGTAAGAGAAGCTGCAATCTGGCAACAAAGGAAATGGTCTGTTGTGTGTTCTCTCCTTCCTAAACCTGTTGCTACCTACACAGCGGCTGGTGAACAGCCTGGACAGCGGCCCGGTGGCCACACTACCGCAGACATCCAACACGGGTGTGACACATGACAATTTACTCCATCCATATCAATCCCCAAAGGCCAAATCCTTTTTTAAAAAGGATCCTGGGACAGGGCGCCTGGGTGGCTCAGTCGGTTGAGCGTCTGACTTCGGCTCAGGTCATGATCTCGCACTCTGTGAGTTCGAGCCTTGCGGCGGGCTCTGTGCTGACAGTTCAGAGCCTGGAGCCTGCTTCAGATTCTGGGTCCCCCTCTCTCTCTGCCCCTCCCCCCCACACACACTCTGTCTCTCTCTCAAAAATAAACAAACGTTAAAGAATTGTTTTTAAATAAATAAATAAATAAAAGGGTCCTGGGGCATTGACAGGCAACTCATTAAATCAACGGTCAAACATCCAAATATGGAAGACTATATAACAATAATTACGATAGGTCTCCACAGACAGATGTGGAAAATGTGTAAAAATTATGAAAAGATGCAAAATAAACAAAGAAAGCTAGATGCAGAATAAACTACATGATGTGATCCTGTTTTGACTACACAAAATTAAGATTATTTGAATGTCAGCAGATAATACCAAACATCTGGGAAAACTTTTTTTAAAAAAAAATCTAAGGGGGCACCTGGGTGGCTCAGTCGGTTAAGCATCCGACTTTGGCTCAGGTCATGATCTCATGGTTCGTGGGTTCAAGCCCCACGTCGGGCTCTGTGGTGACAGCTCAGAGCCTGAAGCCTGTTTCAAATTTTGTATCTCCCTCTCTCTCTGACCCTCCCTTGCTCACACTGTCTCTCTCTCTCTCACAAATAAATAAAACGTTTAAAAAAAATTTAAGTTTATTTATTTTGAGAGAGAGAGAGATAGAGAGAGAGGCAGAATGGGGTAGAGAGGGAGAGAGACAGACCCCCAAGCAAACTCCACAGTCAGCACAGAGCCTGATGTGGGGCTTGAACTCATGAACCATGAGATCACAACCTGAGCTGAAATCAAGTCGGCCACTTAACCGACTGAGGCACCCAGGCAGGCGCCCCTGGGCAAACTGTTAACAATGCTAATCTTTGAGGTGGTGGTTCACATCTGGGTATTGTCTGAAATTGTCATGTGTACTTTTTATATTTAAAAAAAATGTGGGGTTTTTTTTCTGATTATGAAAGAAAATACCACAGTCAGTAAAAAATACTTCTGCAGGGAAACTGGACTCATCCGTGAATGATCAGAATATATACGTGTTTAGTGATTACACACATATACCTTACTATATGTATAACACGGTTGGCCCTGTAACACTGATTTGAACTGTACAGCCCACTTATACATGGATTTTTTTTTCAAAAAATACAGTACAGTACTCTAAATGTATTTTCTCTTCTTTTTCTTAACATTTTCTTTTCTCTAACTTACTCTATTGTAAGAATACAGCATACAATACATGTTACATACAAATTATGGGTTAATTGACTTTATGTTGTCAGGAAGGCTTCTGGTCAACAGTGGACTATTAGTAGAAAGTTTTGGGGGAGTCAAAGAGTTATATGCAGAGTTTTGACTGTGCAAGGGGTGGGATATGAAGCATGTATGTATAACATATACGTTGTATATACATACGTATAAATATACATACACATTTTTTAAAATCATGAAGGGGATATCACATTCCAGGAAGAAACAGGGAAAAATATGTAGAAAAATATGAATGTCTTTCATACCCAACATATAGAGAAACTGCCAGCCAATATGTGCTTGGTGGTTTTGTCTAATAATACTATGGCTTCATAAACGTTTAAGAGGTTTTTAAGATTTCCAGAACAGGTAAACCTCTAGAGATAGAAAGCAGACTGGTGGCTGTTTAGGGCCGGGGCAAGGGGGGTGAGTAGTGACCAATAATGGCCACAGTGTTTCTTGTGGGGGTGATGAAAACGCTCTCAAAGTGATCTGGTGATTGCGGCACAACTCTGTGAATATACTACAAAACCCACTCCGTTGTACACTTTAAATGGATAAACTGGATACCCTATGAGTTGTAGTTCAAAAGAACTGTTAAAAGGGACATTTTGAAAACAATTCTAACACCAGGACATCAATCTTTTCTTTTTTTAAAATTGAGTTTGACACTTGGTATGGACCCATGGACTAGATAATTTGTTAATTAAAATGAGACACTGTTTACTTCTTTTTTGGATAACAAACTTCCTTTTATTTCTGCAATATTCTGTTCTTTGGTCGGGGTTGGGGGGCTAACAACTTATATTTTTTTTAATGTTTTCTTTATTTCTGAGAGAGAGAGAGACAGCATGAACAAGGGAGGGGCAGAGAGAGAGAGGGAGACACAGAATCTGAAATAGGCTCCAGACTCCAACCTGTCAGCACAGAGCTCGATGCGGGGCTCGAACCCACGAACCGCGAGATCATGACCCGAGCTGAAGTCGGACGCTTAACCGACTGAACCACCCAGGCGCCCCAGGGGGGTAACAACTTTAAAAAAAATTTATTTTAATGTTTATTTTTTTGAGAAAGAGAGAGAGAGAGAGAGAGAACACATGCACAGGGGAGAGCAGAGAAAGAGGGGGACAGAGGATCTGAATTGGGCCCGATGTGGGGCTCAAACTCATGAACCATGAGATCATGACCTAAGCCAAAGTCAGATGCTTAATGGACTAAGCCACCCAGGAGCCCCAACTTTTTTTTTTTTAATAAAATTTGTATAGGTGTCTTGCACGGCTGCTGCCCAAGATTATGAGCAAAATGGTATATGGCTACGGAGGTGGGGGAGGGGGGACAGGGCAAGTGGGGTTGAAAGGCAGCCCAAGTTTCACCAACAAGAAGCACTTTCAATGGGTCCTGAAACTGCTGTGGTCCAGAGGGAGAGGCCTTTTATTCTAAATCCTCTGCTCTGAAGGGTGCCTTTCCCTAATTCAAAACAGCAATAGAGGGTCTGTGACCAGCAGGAAAACATCACTGTTTGTGAACAGCCTCATCCCACAGATAAACTATCCAGAATGAGAATGGACGTCAAAACAGCAGTTCTAACATCTGGTAAGACCCCCAACTTATCAAAGAAACTGGTCAAGTAGATGTAATGAACTCTTAGCAAGGGCGGAATGAGAGAGAGTGCATCTTAGAAATATTTTCAAAAGAAGGGTTTTCTAGATAATCCCTAATAAAATCTGAGCAGACTTTTCTGATTCAGCATGCAGCTAAATTTGCTCCTATCAAGGCAAATATTCTCAAGAAGCTTATACTTGAAAATAGTTAATTGAGAAATATTAATGACTCACATGAAAGAACATTAACCATAAAATTTGCATAAATATGCGTATCGGGTGAAAGTAAATATATTACAAACATAAGTGCAATTTAGTAAAAGGAATGAAGGAGGCTTGGGAACAGCAAGGTCAACGGAGCAGAGAAGCCATGGTGAGTTCCAGGGAGTAGATGAAGGCTGCCAGAAAGTTCTAGTCATGGTCACACATTCAGGGTGACATCACTGGGCTCAATGAGGGAGTGTAAGGTGACAGCACAATACGGGGCTTCTTATACTAATTCTTGCAAACCTATCAACTATGTGCAAGGAGACAAATATTTTAGAAATAGGGGAAAACACATCAATAGATACTGTGCTTTTTTATTATGATCCATTAAAAGCATTCCTGTCAATGTATATTGACAATATATATACAATGTAGTAATATACCACAGTGGTGCAATTGGCAAATTCCAGAAACCTAAAATTATTCTGTGAAGCGAACTGCAAGGGAAGAAAAAGATGAAGGAGAGACCTACAAATTAAAAAAATTTTAGGGGGACACTGGGTGGGCTTGTGACTCTTGACCCTGGGGTTGCAAGCTTGTACCCCACATTGGGGGTAGAAATTACTTTAAAAAAAGTTTAAAAAAACTTAAAAGATAATCAAACAAATGCAACATGAGGGCTTTATTTGGAACTGGTTCAAACAAACAAAAAATTATATGACGTTTATCAGACAACTGAAATTTGAACACTGGATATTTAATATCAAGGCATTATTATGAAATTCTTAGGTATGAACATGTATCCTGTTTTGCTAAAAAAACAATCCTTATCCTTGGGGTGCCTAGGTGCCTCAGTAGGTTAAGCATCCTACTTCGGCTCAGGTCACGAACTCATAGTTCGTGCGTCTGAGCCCTGAGTCAGGCTCTGTGCTGACAGCTCGGAGCCTGGAGCCTGCTTCGGATTCTGTGTCTCCCTCTCTCTCTGCTCCTCCCCTGCTCATACTCTGCATCTCTCTCCCTCTCTCTCAAAAATAAATAAACATTAAAAAAAAATCCTTATCCTCTACAGACGCATGTTGAATTATTTACGGATAAAATAATGCGATGGGTAGAATGGGAAGAGGATGGGAGCCAGATGAAACAAAGTTGGGCACAAGATGAATGTCAAAACTGTATGGTAAGTACAGGGGGTTTTAATATACTATCCTGTCCATTTTTCTTTATTTTAAAATTCCCTATAATGAAAGGTTTTTTGAAATCCCATGTTATACTAATAAATCCTATTAGTTGCACTAAATTTGACAGCAAAAGGTAAAATGTTAAAAAGGACAACTAGTCTGAGTATCTTCAGGCTCTAAATATTGAATTTTTAGTCTACATGACATTTTTAAAACAGCATTAAACATACATGGTTAATTACACTTCTTAGAATTGCTTAAGGAAACAATTAAGAGTGAACAAGAAAGGATAATCAAGACTATATAGATCACCGTATAAAAAATCAGATTAAATAAATTGTGGCATAAGAAAAACATTTGTCTATTTAAAAAGGTATCGTAGGAAAATATTTAGCAATACAAAAGCTGTTTTCAAGGTGGGGGCAAAACATGTTAAAATAATACATGTAGTAGAATCACACTTGTTACTTAAAAAAAGGAATGTGAGCATGGAAAAGGATATTCAGTAAGATTAATGGTCATCTTTTAATGAATGGGATTATGAGTTTGTCTCTAGCTTCTTTTTGTAAACAGTTTCAGAATTCTCTATCAAAACCAAGGCTTGTTTTTGTTATTTCAAAAATCACAGAAACATTATCATGAACGGATTAAACGATAAAAAGGTGTATTTTTTTGGTTTTATTCCAGCAGCACTGGCTTTACTAAACACACACACACACACACACACACACACACACACACACACACAACTACAATTAGTAGTTCTGAAACCAGAACTACAATGAACAATTAAGAACACTTCAGGAAGAAGCTGCTCGGACAGGAAACAATCACTATCTGAAAATTAAGTTCTCTCACAAGAGAAGCAAGGTCTCTTGGCCCACACCTGTTACGAACACACACTACCAGTGGCTTTGACTCCGGGTCCCTAGTTGTAAGAGCCAACAGTGTAAAGGCAAACATATTCTATCCAGGTTACGGTGCCATAGATCTGTGAACCCACTGAGAAACACCCAGACCCTGTTTTGGGCTCATGGTGAGAAAAAGGCTTGTTAAACAATTCGTTTCAGAGAGAGACAAACAGACACAGACAAATGACCTCTTACCCATTCACTCTCTGGGAGAGACAAAGAGCATCTCTCATTGGAATCTTAATGTTTCGGTCAGAAGTGACCAGGTCACTCACTGCTTTTGTTATCCAAGACGGCATCTAAGAATCTCACCTCATAGTCTTTCCGTGGAAGGATCTCATCCTCCTCCTCCTGGGTTTCTCCAAGAATGGTCTAGAAAAACAGATCCACAAAAGCAAGACTCTTTTAATGGTGAAAAGTAGAAAGAGACCGACGTATTTATGGAAATCTGTTGCTAATTTCCAAATCATCTCGAACTATTACCAAATGGGAACAAGACCTCAAAAAAACACTTTTGGAATAAGGGGGTGATGTGGGTGGCAATCTACAGTCCTCCAGCTGAGCCCTTTGTTTCTATTGATGTGTTCTTCAAATAACGGCTTTTGTCTTCAGGACACCTCAAAGATGTCCCTTGCCAGCTAAAGCGGGGTGGGGGAGGGGGAATCAGGTTCCATGTGACAATCTGAAAAAAGAAGGGGCCTGTCAACTCTGGGACACAGCAACTCAAGTCTTCCCAGGGTGCTTTGCAGAGGGAAGCTGGATTATCAGTGACCCAGAAAAGGTGAGGGATACGGTGGGAAACGGCTGGGGAAACTAAGCCAGCTGCTTGATAAGCACAAAGTCCAATGAAGGGGCTCATTCTGAAAATGCTCGTTTCATTCAAAACTCTTTTTCACACAGAAATAAAAGAAAACACGGATGGGACTAACTGGAGCGGGCCTGGATGTTCCCTCAGATTCCAGGGAGAGGTTATGAGAAAAGACCCCAGACTTGGGCCCGTCAGATGCTCCGAGAGCCTAGGATGCAGTGCCCAGGCCCCACCCGCTGCCACCTGAGGCCCCAGCTCGGCTCGGCCCCACCCCCGGCAACGCCTCTCGCCGTCCCTTGGCAACCGCCCCCTCCCCAGGCGGGCTCCGCCCGCTCCTTACCAGCTCCTCGGGGGTGCGGGTCTCACGCTCACCGCAGCAGCAGCACCACCTGCAGCAGCAGCACAGGGCCCCCCTGCACCCCGCCATCTCCCTCCTTTACTGCCACTCCGGAACCCTCCACCAACCCCCTCCCACCCAGAATCCGCGCTCCACGTGACTGGCCCCGACAGTGTCACGTGGCCCTCTCGAGCTTGGGACCGAGACAGGGAGTGGCTGCAGACGGGTGGGGCGAGGGCTCGCGTCACATGACGGTGGAGGTACCCCTTCCGAAGAGACCTCTGGGCGCGGCCATATTGGGGATGGAGCTTCCGGTCTCCGGTTCGGATGTTTTCCGCCCTCTCGTCCCGCCTCCCTCTGCAACCTGACACCTGCGCCGCGCCCCGCCCCCGCGCGCCCCGCCCCCTCCGCGAGCGCTCACACAGCAGTCACGCAGCTGCGGCGGGTGCGAGCGCTCTGAGTCACCCGCCAAGGGAGGGTGAGTGGAGGCGAGGCGTGGGGTCGCCGGGGAGGGGTATCTGGGATGTGGGGACCACCCACCGGGGGGCGGGAAGCGAGGGAGGCCTCTCGAGGTGGTGGGCTCCCGCTCCTCTGAATGCTCCCTCCGGGGTACCGGCTGTAACCTCCAATGGCTGCGAGCCCCAGTGACTTCCAACCCCGAAACGAAGACACATTTGCAGCCTCCGACCTGGAGGAGAGGCGGCCCTGAGACGGGGGCGGTGACCCGGACCCTCGGGACCGGGTCCGCGCCCCGCCCCCACCGTGACCCAGTGACCCGGTGTCTAGATTCGCGGTTTTGGAGCCACCCGGCTGCGGGAGGCGTTTTTCTGGCTCCAGCCTTTTAAACCTGCCTGCCAGCTGAGCACCTGCGGGCCGCTGGCACTGCCGTCTCCCGTGCCCACTGAGGCGAGCTCGGTACAGGTGTCCATCCTGGCCCTTCTGGGCGGGATGGGTTTTGCATTCGAGCACTGCACGGTGCTTGGCACAGATTAAGTCGAGGGGTCAGGAAAAGGCAGAGGGTTATTTTGAGAAGAGTGACAGCACCTGACCCGTTGGCGCTGACTGAGTGCTGGCTTTTATCATCGTGGGGATGCCACAGGCAGAATATTGGGCTCTGGTCTCAGGCCACTGAGAGGGAGGGGCAGGAGAGAAGACAGAACTGCGAACCCACAGTTCCAGCCCAGTGTTGGGTGCTATGGGAACCCAGCTTAAAATGGGCAAGTAGTGCTGGGAGGTAGAAGGTTGAAAGAAGGCAGGAACCTGGCACATTCTAGGAATGTGCAAGTCTTAATAAAGCAATGGAAGAGCAGGTAGTTTGTGGGTGCTTCTGCTTCCTTTCCCCTCTCCTGGTTCTGTTCCAGCAGTTAACGAGCCACTCTTTTGAATTGATGAGAAAGGCCAGCTAGACTCATCTTGACACTCTTCCCTTCTTCACTCACGTGGGCCATCCCTGCTGAGAAACCGGAGTTTTAGGATCAAAATGGGCATCCCTAGGGAGAAAACCATTGGTACGCGTGTTTTTACTCTGGTCCTGACTCCTTGACTTTGGACACACAAACTTATGTGTGTTTCGGGGGAGAGGAGCGGTGGACTTCATCAATTTCTCAGGAGTCTAGGACCCCCAAATAGTTAAGAACACTGGTTTAGCCATGGGTGGTCCCTGAAAAGATGAACTTGGCCTGGTTATCCTCTGATGCCCCAAGTCACCACACATTGGGTTTTCACTACTAAAAATGTATGTTTGCACATTGCCTTACAAGAGTAGTGTTCGGTTTTGTTTTTAAGAATTTGTCTTGTTACCCTTCCCCCTCCCCCCCCCAAAAAAAATCAGCTAGTGACACCATGCCCTCTGTTGGCCTGTCTGTGGTTGCCATGGTTCAGGGCTTCCTGTGTGGTGGCTGTGCAGTCACTGTAATTACTTTAACTGACCTCAGTGGCGTGTGTAAGAACAGCCTGGAAGGCAGGCACAGACGGGACAGCTTTTGTTCTGAGTTGGACGCAGATTCGTGCCCTTACTGAATCTGGCTCTGGTTTCCTTGCGGAAGCTAATCCGTGTCAAGTTCTAAGCCATGACGCGGTATTTTTTTGGAGTCGCGTGAACTCAGGAGAAATCTGTGTGCCTTGTCATGCCCACACTCTTCCATCCTGCGTGCACACAAACCATTCCAAGTAACAGGAGATGTTTCAGGCAGGGCCACGCTGAGCTCTGCCTTCTTGGGAGAGTGATCCAGTGACCCTGAACGTCTGTTGGCCTCATCTCCACCAGCCCCTGCAGGCTGGAGTCAACAGCCCCCTCCTTCCATCCGGAGCCCTCCCTCTCTGCCTGGAAGCCTTGTCCCCGCCCCCTTGCGCAGGGCCCCAGCTGTAGCTCTGGGCTCTTCCCTTGTCACAGCTCCCTCCGCCCAGAAGCGCACACACGCGCCTGCCTCCGAGAAGGTTCCTCCTGTTTCTTCCCCACCCACTCTGGGTCTGCGCTGGCGGAGATGGACCATCCAACACCCAAGGTCCTTCTAGCCAGGCCCCGCTGCCCCTCCCTACGAATGTGGGCTTTGGAGGTCGGCAGCGGGAGGTTCTCAGTGCCACCCTCTATCAGGTAGCTGTCACCAAGATCCACGGGCTGAAAGAGCGAGTTCCTGTGCCGGGTGGGGGCTGGTTTATTTAGAGCCAGGCAGCCGTGGAGGGCGAAGCTTTGAGTGAAGCAGTATAGACAGTCATAGGTGTGGTGTGTGCAGCACTGGGTGGGGCCACCGTCACCCTTACCCTCACCAGCCTTCTTCCTGCGTGGAAATGTGGCATCTCGCATTTGACCCTGCCACTCCGGGACTTGGCTGCCCACCCCCTGACGCTCCTGCCCCCCGCCCTGTGCAGCAGGAACCCGGCCATGGTGAACGAACCCAGAGGGGATGGTGGCCCCACGCCCCGCTCAGAGGGCAGCAGCAGTGGCAGCGAGAGCTCGAAGGACAGTTCGAGATGTTCCACGCCGGGGCTGGACCCCGAGCGCCACGACAGACTCAGGGAGAAGATGAGGCGGAGGATGGAATCTGGTGACAAGTGGTTCTCCCTAGAATTCTTCCCTCCTCGGACAGCTCAGGGAGCCGTCAATCTTATCTCGAGGTGAGCTGATGTCCTTAGGAAATTGAGACCAATGAGGGGGGTGTGGGAGGCAAACCGCGGCAGGCAGTCCGGTGTCAGGGCCACACTTTGACCCGGCAGAGGAAGGCAGCCAGAGGGAGTGGAAAAGAGCGGGGGAGATCATCTGAGCCGCACCTTCTCAGCTGTCAGGAAAAGTCCCTGCAAGCAGTCTGGAATTTTTAGACACCCAGTGCAACGGGTTAAAAATGCTCCTTCTCTCAGACCGCATTCTTTGGTGGAACTTGGGGCTGGCGCAGGAATACAGTTTAGGAAGTCGTAAAGCAGCGGTTTGGAGAACATTTTCTGCAAGTTAGGAATTCGACTTACGCCTCTTGAAATCTAGAAATGCCAAATGAATTCTGTTAGCACATTATGAATTGCAGTTCCTTTTTTTTTTTTTAAAGTGTCTGCTTTTTTTGGTTACCATTTGCGTTTTTCACATGTGGCTCTCAAGGTTCCAAGGTTTAAAGGCACAGGGATGTTTAAATAGCACGTTCTAGCTCATGCGCACGTGCACACCTGTGGCTCTTGAGTCTCTCAGGAACTGTGGCCTTGTTCCCTGAGGCCGCTGGCTGCTGCACCGCAGCCGGGAGGCAGCATGAAAGAAACCTGTGTCTGCTGACCCTCTTTTTGCCCTGTTCCTAGAGCGACCCCCTGCTTGCCGCTCTGAGAGTTCCCCAAACCTCTGACCATCAAAATGTCTTAGCTCACCCGAGATAGGGTGCAAGCACTTTGAAAAGGCTGATGTACTGCTCTCCACAAAAGGGTTGCCTTGTTGTTATAAGTTGTCTTTACAATCATCATCATCACAGAAGCTCACACCGACTGAGTGTTCAGTGTGTACCAAGCACTGTTTTAAGAGCTGTGGGACCGTCTATGGTAATACTTCCATAGCGTTATTCCGAAGTAGGTACTGTTCTTTGCCACGTTTTTGCAATGAAGAGACAGGCTCAGAAAGTTAAAGTAATTCTCCCAGGATCACACAGCTACTAAAGTAGCAAAGCCAGCAGGAGATGAATGTGGGTGGTCTGATCACATGTGATATTTCCCTAACCCCCTGGACCCAGGGGAAGGTAGTGAAGGGTGGTGTGTTCTCAGGAGCCCCTCTTCAGAAAGAAATTCCATACAGGTTTGATCGGATGGGGGCAGGTGGCCCCCTCTTCATAGATGTGACCTGGCACCCAGCAGGGGACCCTGGCTCGGACAAGGAGACCTCCTCCATGGTGATCGCCAGCACTGCTGTGAACTACTGTGGCCTGGAGACCATCCTGCACATGACCTGCTGCTGCCAGAGCCGGGAACAGATCACAGGCTATCTGCACAAGGCCAAGCGGCTGGGCCTGAAGAACATCTTGGCCTTGAGGGGAGGTGTGGAGCCGGCACTCTGCTCTCTGAGATCTTGCTTCCTCGAAGGCCTCTTCTGTCCCTGGGACAGGCCTTTGCTTTTCTCTGAGTCCCGCACTGAGCACACTCAGTTCCCTCCCTGCCGGTAGTGTCAGTAGGCCTTGTGGGTAGTGAGCACTGTGGGTCCCGCATAAATGGAGCCACTTATTGACCCTGGCGTAGTTGAGTCAGGAAGCAGCCTGTGCCTGATAACCCTCTGTCCTGGCTACACACAGCTGGCTGTCCCCGCCCTGGGCCCCATCAAAGAGCATGCTTCTGGCATTAGTCATGGGGATGAGACAGCCTCTGATGCCCCTGGTACCTGTTGTCCCACCCAAGTATAGGAAGAAGGAGCCGGATAGGTGGGATCCTGTGGCCTCATACTCTCCACAAGAACTTGCTTGAGTAGAAATTGTCCCGGGAGGCAAGAAAGGATCTCAGATGCTCCAGGCTAACCTAAGAGCTGCAGCTGCCCCCTGTTTAGCACAGCCAGCACTTTGCCCGCAGAGTTGGTGCTCCGTAAGTGTTTGGCAAGATGGCCACCGTCTTCCTGGCCACCATTTGCCAAGTGCCATGCTGGGAGGAGGGGACACACACCCTGGAGAAAATCAAGGCTCTACGTCTGAGGAGCTCGCGGCCCAAGTGTGGGGTGGAGAGAAGGAACACAAAGGCTGCCTGGAGGGTGGGTGAGACCCAATGACTGTGACCTCTGCCACCCCTGCAGACCCCGTGGGTGACCAGTGGGAAGAGGAGGAAGGAGGCTTCAGCTATGCTGCAGACTTGGTGAGGCACATCCGAAGTGAGTTTGGCGACTACTTTGATGTTTGCGTAGCAGGTGAGTGGCTGGGCCTTCCCAGTGCATGGGGACAGAGGAGGGAAGGAATGACACACCAGAGAGCACAGAAGGCCTGCCAGCACTCAGTTCAGGACCCGATAACCCAGGGTGCCATGGGCCTGAGCCTGTGCCAGGTGAGGGAGGCTCAGGGGTGCATCACACAATGCCCTTGCTCTCATTGTCATCCGCTACCTGCCAGGCTGCCCCACCCTTTGAATTTTTATTCCTCTGCCTTTTTGCGCTCTTAGCTTGCTTCCTAGTTCTATTCTTATTCTTTAAACATAAAGGGATGTTTATTAAGATGGGGGGCCCAAGGAATCTCAGAACCCCAGTCGGGAAATGGCATCTGACCTCACTAGGCACTGGATCAGAAAGCAGTCAGAAACCAAGGCCTCCCTCATTCTGTCTTGAGCCACATAGTAACCCTCCTCCCCATCTCTGCCTCCCACTGCACGTTTGCTCCATGCTTCTGATAGAACTGATGGGTCTGCTTTTGCACACACGTGACCAACTGCCAGCTCCTAAGTGTATGTGATCACTTCCAGCCAACGGTCCAGACTGATTGACAGGTCTCAGTATCAGTTCTGAATTCTCAGGAGAGAACATTGGATCAGCTCAGCTCCAGTTCTGTGGGCTACAGCCAAGAGGCAAGGTTCACTTGCTAGACATGGCCTTCCCTCTTACCCCTGCCTACTGGGATTGGGCCTCAGCTTCTCAAATCAGGGCTTGGGTATGTTGAGGCAACATGTGCCAGGGATGCAAGAAGTCCGGGGATTGATGTGACATATCATTTTGGCATGACAATTTTTCTGAAACAATTTTTTGGGAAAATCATATCATTTTTATATTAAAACAAACATAGCCACATTCTGAAGTAGCATGTCAAAGTGACCTGAGTTTTTAAATTTTTTTTAACATTTATTCATTTTTGAGAGAGAGATAGACTACGAGTCGGGGAGGGGCAGAGAGAGAGACACACACAGAATCCGAAGCAGGCTCCAGGCTCCGAGCCATCAGCCCAGAGCCCGACACAGGGTTTAAACCCACAAATGGTGAGATCATGACCTGAACTGAAGTTGGACGCTTAACCGACTGAGCCACCCAGGCGCCCTGAAAGTGACCTGATTTTTAAAAAGTAAGCCATGTGGCTTCAAGGCAGTTAGTTGTTGCCTATGGCTTTGAGCTTTAGTCCTAAGCTCCCATGTACATATCCGCTCTTCACAGTCAACAGCCACGTTTAGGTGAGTCTAGGAGGCCCTGATGAGGAGTTAGGCATATGGTGGACATTTCTACCTGTTCATGTATCAACTGCCCACACTGGCCACCCTTTGGTCAGTTAATTGAGGAACATGCTCATGTGTAGTAGGCATTACATGGGTAGAGATTGACTGAGCTGTGAGCTTTCGGGTGCTGAGGGGTCTGGTGCTTTGCCTGTCTTAAAGAGAGTGAGAAGGCTTATTCTAGGGTAGGAAAACACCAAATTGGGGCTATAACAGAAAATAGAGTAAATGGAGCAAAATCTAAATGTAAGCACATGCTACATTTGGTGATGTTGAGGATTTATAGCTGTAGTTATAAATAGCCGTTAAAACATCCTTATTTTTGAAATTCCTGCTGAATAAATAGCCTTGTTATTGAAAGTGAAATTATGGTGCTCAGTCCTCCCATGTTTCACCCCTTGAAAGAAGAGTTTTTATATTCATTTTTGATGACTTGCAGTTTCCTCAGAACAAAACTGCCTTATCACAGCAAAGCAGGCTTGCTCGCCAGCAGCCTGGCTTAGGGTCCTGCCCAGGGCTGAGGCTGAGGAAGCCAGCACTCCCCTATACTGTCATCTTTTTTTTAAAGATTTAACGTATTTTTTAAATACTTTTTATTGATTTTTGAGAGAGAGAGCATGAGCAGGGGAGGGGCAGAGAGGAAGGGAGAGAGAGAATCTCAAGCAGGCTCCAAACTGTCAGCACAGAGCCTGACACCAGGCTCTATCTCAGGAGCCTTATGATCATGACCTGAGCTGAAATCAAGAGTCATACACTTAACCCACTAAGCCACTGAGGCGCCTCTCACCAAGACATAATTTAACTTTGGTGATATCTGGGGCTCATCGTCAAGAAGGCAGAGAAGCAGCAGGATTTAGCCAAAAAAGAAAAAAAAATTTAATATAAAAAGACCAGAGTCAGGAGTGTGCATGCACTTCTTGTTCAGATTCTGCTTCCCGAAGCTGTGCACCCACGGGCAGGGCATTCTTCTGTGGGCATCTTTTCACTGGACAGTTCTCCTTTCCTCTGGCTTGATCCCTTTTAGAGATTGGAGATGGGCTTAATCCCTGTTGGAGATCTTGGACTTCATGATACTGTTCTTATTACTTTTGAGTAATAAGTTTTCAAATTTCTGTAACAAAAGGTTAAAAATAAGGGCACCTGGGTGGCTCTGTCTGTTGAGCATCCAACTCTTGGTTTTGGTTCAGGTCATGATCTGAGGGTCATGGGATTGAGCCCTGTGTTGTGCTCTGTGCTGAGTGTGCTTGAGATTTTCTCTTTCTCCCTCTCTCTCTCCCTCTCTCTTCCTCTCTCTCTGTCTCTCTCTCTCTCCCTCTGCCCTCTCCCCTGTAGCTTCATTAAGGCCTACCATCATCCTTTGCAGGCAGAGTGGCTCAGGGAAGCAGTCACAGAGTTCCTGGAGCTAGGGAGGAGCCTAGGTGACATGTGGTCCCGCCTCCCAGGCAGTTCTGGAATCCCATCTTCTGCCTCCCCAGCAGCCCCAGGCTTCACCTCCAGTAGTTTGTTACCTGGTGGGGCTGCTCGCTGGGACTGATCCTGGCTCTGTTATCAGAAGCGACACAGATTATGACTGATAAGAACCTTGCTGAAGGTGAATCCCTTCTCCCCCACGTGACCGACAGACCATTGGGCTCTTGGAGGTAGTTACGGAACTCTCTCCATTCTTTCCTTCGGTTGGAACATCTCCACTTTCTTCCACGCTTCCCCCTGTGTGACGTGGCTTCTAACTTTCACTCTTTGGGATCCCAGCATAATTTTGATATGAAATGAATCCACTGCCCAGACCCCAGATGCTGCCCAACCCGCGTTCTATGTGGCATTTCCTCTCTTCTGTGGCCACAAAGCACAGGTCTCGTTTGCCTGGCTGGTGGCAGGGGGCATGAGGCAGGTTAGGGAGCTGTCCCCCACAACTCTTGGCTGGGTGGCCATAGGCCACCTCTCACCGAGGGTCATGTCTGGAGTGAGAGGGGCATCATTGTGAGCTCAGCCACTTGACCATTCCGGCCCATCGGTGCCACGGTATCACAGGGGACGCGTCCAGAACCCCCAAGGCAGAGAACTCTGGGTTCCCAGCTTTCCACCGGTCTCTTCATCACTCACCTTGAGCAGGTGGGAGCCAGCCTCTCCCTACTGTCATCCCTATCGGCAGGTTACCCCAAAGGCCACCCCGACGCAGGGAGCTTTGAGGCCGACCTGAAGTACTTGAAGGAGAAGGTATCCGCAGGAGCCGACTTCATCATCACCCAGCTTTTCTTTGAGGCTGACACATTCTTCCACTTTGTTAAGGCTTGCAGCGAGATAGGCATTACCTGCCCCATCCTCCCCGGAATCTTTCCTATTCAGGTGAGGGTCCCAGGAGGGCTATTCTAGCACAGGCCAGGGCCCTGGGGTGAAATGCCAAGTTCATGATGAAGTGCTTTTGATGCTCATTAGATTTCCCTTCTGATGGATGCTCCAGTCCTTGGAAAAGGCCACCCCGTTTTGATGACCTCTAATCCCCCCTCCTCGGAAACAGCAGCAGGGTCTGTTGGGGGGTCTTACTGACAAGTGTCACTAAGAGGGATTATAACCGTCATTATAAATCTTGATTAAGTCAGTGATTCCCAAACTGGGCTGTTATCAGAATCATTTGAAAAGCTTTTTCAAAACCTACATTTCCAAATCCCATGCCTAGAGGTTCTGATTTAATAGATCGGAGGTAGGACCTGGGAACTCGCATATTACTTCTTAAGTTTTACCGGCGGTGCTGATGATCAGTGCGCCTTAGGAACCACTGGCCTTGATGCCCACCGTGTGATCAGTAAAGACACCTAGGGGCACAAGGGCTGGCTCGGTCCGAGGCCAGGAAGGCCGTGGGCAGCTGGTGTGCTCTGGAATGGAAGAGGCAGGACAAGGCGAGGGTCCTTGTACCATCCGGTCTGCCTTTCCTGAGTCAGGAGGCCTGGCAAGGGATGGGAAGGGCCGTAAGTACCTCGGGGGAGAGACAGGCCGGGGGATGGCACCCACGGCCCCCTGTGTCTCGACAGGGTTACCACTCCCTTCGGCAGCTTGTGAAACTATCCAAGCTGCAGGTGCCGCAGCGGATCAAGGACGTGATCGAGCCGATCAAAGACAATGACGCGGCCATCCGCAACTACGGCATCGAGCAGGCTGTGAGCCTGTGCCAGGAGCTTCTGACCAGTGGCTTGGTGCCAGGCCTCCACTTCTACACCCTCAACCGAGAGGTGGCCACCATGGAGGTGCTGAAGCGCCTGGGCATGTGGATTGAGGACCCCAGGTGAAGCCAGCAGCCCCCAGTTCAGGCCCGGGAGCCGCAGAGGCAGGTCGGATGGGTGGGGAAGTCAGAAGTCACAGAATGAGCATGGCCTCATGGTGCAGGCCACCACAGCCGTACAGAGGGAGGCCTCCCCTGGCTAGCAGCACATCCAGGGTTCTGTCTCGGGGGGAAGTCCATGCACAGAGTCAGATCAGAGGTCCCCCATCAGCTCGGTGGCGTGCCCCTCTTCCCTGCGTCCTCTGGCCAGTCGCTTATTCGTTCGGGTCTCCGTTCTCCCCCAGGCGTCCACTGCCCTGGGCTATCAGTGCCCACCCCAAGCGCCGGGAGGAAGATGTGCGTCCCATCTTCTGGGCATCCAGACCGAAGAGTTACATCTACCGCACCCAGGAGTGGGATGAGTTCCCCAACGGCCGCTGGTGAGTGCCTGCCCGGACCCCAGAGCAAGTGCAAGTGCAAGTGCGCCCTGTTTCTTGGGAGGGAGGTGGAGGGAGTTTGCCTGCTTCTCTGCTTGCTTTTTGGGAGCAGCCAGGGACAGGATTCACAAGAACGCCCCCTGGCCGGTGGGGGCGCCTGTCCCTCCATCAGGAGCACCGGATCAGGAGTGTGCCTTGCCCTCTGGGTGCTTCCCTTGCCAGGGGCAATTCCTCCTCTCCAGCCTTCGGGGAGCTGAAGGACTACTACCTCTTCTACCTGACGAGCAAGTCCCCGAGGGAGGAGCTGCTGAAGATGTGGGGGGAGGAGCTGACCAGCGAAGAAAGCGTCTTCGAAGTCTTTGCCTGCTACCTCTCGGGAGAGCCCAACCAGAGTGGCTATAAGGTGAGGGCCGCCGGGGCAGGGTCCCCCGTTACGTCCCCTGCCCCGTCTCCCTGTGGGCCAGGCATCGGGGCTGGGACTCAGGGCATGGCCCCCGCTCACCTAAGCCTCACCTCTCTCTGGACGCAGCACCTCAGCCGAGGGAAGGGTGAGCTGGGAAGTTCCCGCCCGGGGTGCCTGGAAGGGCTTACGGAGGCACAAACCGGCGCAGCCCTCGAGAGGGAGGACCCGGGCTGGCAGGTGTGACCGCCACCCCAGCCCGGCTCGCCCTCTCTCCCAGGTGACTTGCCTGCCCTGGAATGACGAGCCCTTGGCAGCCGAGACCAGCCTGATGAAGGAGGAGCTGCTGCGAGTGAACCGGCAAGGCATCCTCACCATCAATTCCCAGCCCAACATCAACGGGAAGCCGTCCTCCGACCCCATTGTGGGCTGGGGCCCCAGCGGGGGCTATGTCTTCCAGAAGGTGTGGCAGGGACGGGCGGGGCTTCCCCACCCTGGCCGGCACCCCGGGGTTCCCCAGAGCCAGGGACAAAGAAGCCTTCCTCGTTATTCTGAGGCAGAGCAAACAGGAGTTCATGCTCTATGTCAGGCAGACCCAGGCAGGCAGTTCGCTTGTCCACTCTGAGCCTCAGCTGCCTCTTCTGCAAAATGGGGGTAGATCATACCACATTCTGGGGCGGGAACGTGACAAAGCACGGGAAATGCTTCGCACGTGGGAAGCACGTGGGAAGCGTTCACTAAACGGAACTGTCACTGGTCTCCTGCATTGGTACCCGTCTGTAGAAAGGAGCGCTAGACTTAAAATTACGTCATAAACTAGAGCTCGCGGGCTCTGGGGTTTGAAAGACATGGGTTGGAGCACGAGGTCTGTTGTTTACCTTCAGTGCAGCCAAGTTGCTCAGCATCTCTGCATCTGGTTTCCCCCTGCGTGAAAGGGGGATAATAGTGCCCCAGCTCAATCCCGGACAGGAAGCTGGTGTTCAAGACGCCCTCGCTGTCAGTGTTACCATCAGGGAGCGGGGAGGGTGGGAGGGTCAGGCTTCTCCCATGTGTCAGCTTGTCAAGCCGGGCCTCCCGTCCGGTTTCTGAGATGGCTTCTCCGTGGAACCTTCCCTAGTGGGAAGAAGGGCGGCCGGTGTCCCTCGGACCTGTCCGGACTCAGACACCTCACTACCTGCCCCTCTTCCCCTCGCCCGTATTCATGATATGAGCCACGTGGCCACACTAACCCGGTGCCTCAAGTCCTGCCGCACAGGTGGGCGTGGTCGCCTCTCTGGGACGGTCTGGGGGGCCAGTGTCCGCTGTCTCCAAGCAGCACACGGAGCGGGTGGGGCGAGGCCCGAGGCTGACCCACACGCTCTCCCGCAGGCCTACCTGGAGTTTTTCACTTCCCGTGAGACCGTGGGGGCGCTCCTGCAGGTGCTGAAGAAGTATGAGCTCCGGGTTAATTACCACATTGTGGATGTGAAGGTAGGCCAGCTCCTGGGGTGTAGACAGCGCTCAGGAGGCCCAGAGACCCCGGGGGCCGACAGCACCGTGCTTACCCCTCCACTCAGTGAGCACCGAGCCCTGCCATGCGTGGTGGAAACCGATGCACGTACCCAGAACCCTCAGCTCAGAGAGCCTGCAGCCTAGCGAGGGGGCCAGTCAGTGGGTAATCACAAATCCAGTTGCACTTTCAACAGTAAAGCTCAGCATGGGATGCTGGGGACCCAGGGCAGGGACATCTAACCTGGGCAGTCAGGGAAGGCTTGGGGGGGGGCCCTGTGTGGCCGCACTCTCTGAGGACAAGAAGGACTTCACAGGGAAAGGGCAGAGGGTGTGCGAAGGCAGCGTCTGCACAGCCCGCGGAGATGCTGCTGAATGAGGCCACAGTCAGGCTGAAGTACTGACTGTCCTGCTTGGAATTTGGGTTTTCCCCTAAAGGCAGGAGGGAGCCTTTCCCAGCAGTGGTGGCTTGGCTCCGTGCTTCGTCGTAGGCAGGTCCCCGCGGACAGTGGTGTGGATGAGGCCAAAGGAAGGGTAGGATCAGAGGCCCTGTGGCAGTCCGCGTCGCAAAGACAAGCCTGGCTGGGCAGCCACGAGGGGACAGATTGCAGAGGAGCCAGCAGGAGCCACCGGATGTGGGGGATGGGATGTGGGGGGAGTGGAGGAAGGCAGCGGTCAGCCTGTGCCCTTTCACAGAGTGCCAGAGCTGGGGGGCGGAGAGGGGATGGAACAGAGCGCACTCTGGTGGGTTGGGTGGGCTGGGTGGGCTGGGTTCTCGGGCACCGGACGGACTGCAGAGGTCTGTGCCCAGGTCTGTTCTGATCCCCCGCCCCACCCCGCCCCACCCCCTGCCGTCAGGGTGAAAACATCACCAACGCCCCCGAGCTGCAGCCCAACGCGGTCACTTGGGGCATCTTCCCCGGGCGAGAAATCGTCCAGCCTACAGTGGTGGATCCCGTCAGCTTCATGTTCTGGAAGGTGAGGGGGCAGGGAGCGGGCCCGCCCTGCCCACCTGGCACGCCTTAGGCTGGCGGTGTCAGTACCAGGGTCAGCGCGGGGCTGGTGGGCTCCCCCTTCCTGGCTGTGCCTGACTCTGCCTCGAGGTGCTGATTTCTGGGCTGGGGGGTGGGAGGGGACACCGGCAGCGGGCCTTGTTCTGGTCCAGGAAATGTCCTGTTGTGCATCATGGAGGCCCTTGGGGCGCTGAGCACGGAGCCCTGACCTGCGGCTGTTGCCCTGGCCCGTGTCTCCGTGTGTCTGTGCGCGTGCTTGCCTGTGTGTCCGTGTGTGTGCGCGTGCCCGTGCGTGCAGGATGAAGCCTTTGCCCTGTGGATCGAGCAGTGGGGCAAGCTGTATGAGGAGGAGTCCCCGTCCCGCATGATCATCCAGTACATCCACGACAACTACTTCCTGGTCAACCTGGTCGACAACGAGTTTCCGCTGGACAACTGCCTGTGGCAAGTGGTGGAAGACACATTTGAGCTTCTCAACAGGCCCGGGCCAGAGCAGGAGACGGAGACTCTGTGATCTGTGCCCTGATGGCCTTAGCTTGAGGCCACTGGGTCCTGCCGTCCTCCTCCCCGGTCCTGGTTTTCCTGGGGACCCGTCTTCTCCGTTTTCTCCCCGAGCCCTGGCCTCCACCCCTCACACGGTGATGGCAGCTAGACTGGTGTGGGGCTCGCGGGCTCTGGCTGGACCGGAGTCCGCCCCATATCGGAGCCTGGTGTTCGAGGCTCAGCCTGGTGCTCTTTGGTGAGGAGCACCCCCATCGTGCAGAGGACCGAGATGGGTGGAACAGCCTCCTCCCTGAGAAGGAGAGGGGATAGTTGTTGCTGACTGAGCCCTTGAACCAGGGCAGCTCCTGGGAGCCGGCCCTGGGGCTGCCAGTGACCTTGCACTTGGCACCCACCAAGACGGCAAAGTGAACCCGGGTAGCAGGCGCTGGCGGCGCTGCAGAAGAGATGCAGCAGAGCGAGGGTGCCGCGCCCGTGTCTCGGAAATGTTGGCTGCTGGGCACTTACCTGCTCGTGCCACCTGCCCTGCCCACCTGCCTGCGTCCCAGGCCTCTGGACAGGCCTGGGCCTGACGTGACAGTGCAGGCATTCCTTGCCAGCATCCTGCGAGCCCACTGGGCTTTCACCTTTCTACAAGGCTGCTTTTTGAAAGAGCCGTTTCTATGTTCTGGGGGCTCCAGACGGAAAGCGTCTCTGAAAGACTAAAGGCATCTGAACCCTTCTACTTGGTGGAGCCCTTGGCCTTCCCTCCCTTGACTCCCACCCCGGCCTGTAGAGCCATACCCTGTCCGTTACCGTCAAGGGCAAAGATAAGGCTCCATTGAGCAGGACTTATTTCTTCCTGGCTAATTCTTTCAGATGGGACCTTTCCCTGCGAGCTGCTCCGTGGCCCCTACAATTCCCAAAGCTGTCTGCCCGGCCCTGCTCCCCCAGAGTCAGCCCTCAAGCCCCACTGCCCAGGGTCAGTGACCAGTGGACGCGCAGAAGCTGGTCCCTGTCCCCGTCCCTGCCTGCTGGTCTCCGCTGGCTCAGCAAAAGGGTGGGGGGGGGGTTAGGTGTCCAAAGAGCAGCCTGATGGCAGAAGGGGCAGGCACAGTCACGGGTGATCTATTCTCTTTCTCCCCAGGGTGGCTGGGTGAGGCAGAGGGGCACCCTTTAGGAGAGACTGAGCAAGAGAAGCAGCTAGGACCACGGAGGGTGTTTTATTGTCCCTCAGAGCTCTGTCCCCAGGCTGTGGGATGAGTGCCTGGTGGCCTGAGCCTGCAGTCCCCGGATGGGTGGGGCGTGCTTCCTTCCTCACGGAGCCTGGGCTCAGCTCTGTTTTTCTTTTCTTGGGAACAAGTCACAGCTGCAGCTGGGCCCCCCGCCCCACCCCACGTCCACCCCGGGTCCACCCCACACGGGGGCTCGGGCAGCTTCCAGGATGCTCCCAGGGTTCCCGATGCCCGCCTTCCACGGGGGTACTGGGCCACTGGTGGCTCCTCTCTTCCGGCCCCTGGCTGCCAGCTGTTGGCGCCACTTCTCAAAGGCCTGGAGTCAGAGAGGAGAAAGGGAAGGCTGTTTGGCCCCCTCCTGGGTCTGTGCTGTAGGTGCTAAGCTAATGCTTGTCTTCAGCTCCTTCTGTCCCCAGAGGGAATAGGAGATCCCTCCCTCCACCCCCGCCAGCCAGCCAGCCAGCCAGCCAGCTATGCCCCAGGCCGAATGTACAGGCTCCGAACAGCTGCGATCTCGGAAGCTGCTGTGTTCTGAGTGGGACAGATCAGGGAGCAGCCCCCCCGGGACCCATACCCGGTGTGGGCTAGCGTACGTGGCAGCCGGGCTGTGGCCAAGCCTTGTTCCCACGCTGAGCGTCAGGGTAGGACTGGGCTGAGCACAATCCAAGCTGTGTTTTCTCAAAGGAACTGACTCCCCCCCGGGAAATGCAGGGGCCCCCAGCTCAGCAATGTCCAGGTGTCGCCCTCATTTGGGAAGGCCTGCCGGGGACGGGGGGCACCCCCCAGTACCTGGGAAAGGACCTGGCCGCCTTCCTGTTGCTGTAATCGCCGAGCCGCCCGCAGCCTCAGGACTCGCCACCGCCACACGCGCCAGGCCCGCCTCAGGTGCCACTGCCTGAGCTGTGGGGACAGGTGGTGAGGCCCCAGGCCGGCCCGCCGCCGCCCCTCAGCCCCTCTGCCGCGTCTTCCCCCTACAAGTGTGCAGCACTGGGACAGAAGGGCTGTGATGGCTGTCGGGGGAGGGAGTTGCATTAATGCAGATGCCAGCGCCTGGCCCCACGCAGACCAAGATGCCCCCGGGGAGAGCACTTAGGGGTGAGGGTTGAGGTGAGATGAGAGGAGAGATCAGTGCAGGGCTGGGGAGGGGCCGGCCCCGCTCACCAGCATGCGTGCCAGCCGCTCCTCTCCCCGAGCATGTGCCCACTGCTGCCATGTTGCTGCCAGGCACCTGGCCTGCAGGGACCACTGCAGCCGGCGGAGCAGAGCCTCCAGGTGCCAACACTGCAGGTATCTCCTCCTGGAGGCCGGGGGGGGGGGGGGGGGGGGCGAGGCCCTGCTGTGCACCCTGATGGCCCGGGGCACCAGGAGCCCTTCGTGACCAGGTAGAAGGGCAGGGCCGTGGGTCCTCCAGGAATGAGGGAATGAGCGCCGGCCAGAAAGGGCCCGGCTCCGGCCATGGCTCAGGCGAGCCCCTGGGCGTGCGGCAGCTGAACTTACCCCAGCTGCCTCTCGGTGGCCACGCCTTGGCCTTCGAGAACGCTGGCCTCAGAGCTGTGGTTCCCTCCGAGTCTTCTGGGGCGTGGGCCCTGGGCGGGGCTGGGGCATCCCAGCCACTGCAACTGGACCTGGAAGGCACGGCAGAGGGGAGGCTCTCGGTCACCTGGAAAGAAAAGGTCAACGAAGATAAGTACCTAGAATGGATTCGCCACGTTGCCGGAAGCGGATTTCTCGGCCTGCAAGATGTCCGAGCCCAGGGGCAAGGCCTCCTTACTCTGAGCCCAGGACATTTCTCTCCGCTCCTTCTGTCCCCCGCGGCTGTGCTGCTGGGTTGGGCTGGGCCGTGTCCTGTAGCCGTGGGTCTGAGGGAACAGCCGGAGAGGAAAAGCTGAACCGATGGGCTTGGGCCCCTGGAACTCAGGCGGCCTGGTAGGGTCTTTTCCCCTCCTGCCCCGGAAGCAGGGCCGCCTCCTCTTGTGTGGCCCTGAGGCTCGGGGGAGACGGAGAGGGTGCCCCGCACTAGCGTGGCCATCAGCACACACCACTGCCTCTTCCCCCGTCCTCCCATCGTGGCTGGAAACTCAAGCAGAGGGCGGGCCAGTAATAGCCACCACCTGGTGACAGCTTACCGGTGCCGGTGCCAGTGCCAGCACAGCCTGCGAGTAGGCTGTCCCCCCACTTAGGCCCCTCCAGAGCCTGAGCCCAGCTGCTCCTCTGTTACAGCCCAGGGCTGTCCGGGGGCCTCTGTGCCAGGACATGGCACATAATACCTACTCGTGTCGATGGGGGAGGGCTGCCTGGTTGCGTGTGTTCGTGTGCTAAAAAGGCCAGGCCTGCCACCAGGCACCCTAGGTCCCATTCCCGGCATTTACTTTTGGTTTCCGTATGGCTCTGTTTCTCCACCAGCAAACGGGATCCCTGCCTGCCTTTGCCGATAAGAATGGAATGATACTGAGTTAATTTATTTATTTTAAATGTTTATTTTGAGAGAGGCTTGCACACATTGGGGAGGGGCAGAGAGCCAGGGGTTAGAGGGAATCCCAAGCAGGCTCCACACACAGTGCAGAGTCCAACGCGGGGCTCATCTCATGACCCTGGGGTCGTGACCTGGGCCGAAATCAAGGGTCAGGTGCTTAACTGACTGACTGAGCCACCCAGGCACCCCAGGATGTTAATATATTTTTAATTTTTCAAAATGTTTATTTATTTTGGAAGAGAGAGAATGTATGCACACAAGCAGGGGAGGGGCAGAGAGAGAAGGGGAGAGAGAATCCCAAGTGGGCTCCCAACTGTCAGCGCAAAGCCCGATGCAGGGCTCGATCCCACAAACCTCGAAATGGGGACCTAAGCCAAAACCAAGAGTCGGACACTCAAGTGACTGAGCCACCCAGGCACCCCAGAATGTTAATATTTTTAAACACACTCTAAAAATAGAATTGTCTTGTGACACAGACCGAGAAATAAAATACTCTGAAACCCCAGAATCCGCTGTTGCCGTTGCCTTTCATGTGTGAATATATGCAAATAACCAAAGCTAGCCCCTTCGTCCTTTAAAAAAACAACTTAATCTTTTTTCTTAGAATCTTTCTAGAGTGTATTCTGTGCGTCCTGGCATTCTGAAACAGGGTTCTTGAGGATTCCAGTTCCTTTTTAGGAAGAGTGGGTAGCCTGCCAGTAACTCTGACACCGCTGTGCCCTGTCCCTCCATGTCCCTTGGCTTTCCCTGTGGCCTTGAACAGTCCTGTTTGTCCTCAAGCTCTGGTCACCATTTGCTCGTGTCAGAACTGCTTATTTTTTTCTTTTAAATATTTTTAAAATAAAAAAAATTTTTAAATGCTATATGCATTTATTTTGAGAGAGAGAGAGTACACGTGTGCAACCTAGGGAGGGGCAGAAAGAGACAGAAAGAGAGACTCCCAGGCAGGCTCTGCGCTGTCAGCACAGAGTGGGGCTCCATCTCACAAACCGTGAGATCATGACCTGAGCCCAAATCAAGAGCTGGACGCCACACCGACTGAGCCACCCAGGCGCCCCAAGATTTTTTTATTTTTAAGTAATCTCGACAGCCAATGTGGGGCTCAAACTCACAACCCTGAGATCAAGAGTCACGTGCTCTACCGACTGAGCCAGCCAGGAGTGCCCAGCCCCAGCTGATCCAGAGAGTGACTCCTCTGGGTGGAGAGGGTTAGTCAGTCACTCCTTTGGTCACTCCTTTGGGTGGAGAGGGTTATGAAAGAAACATTTTTTTTTCCCCGTATATATTTGCTGATTTCCCTGCATTGCTCATGTTTACTTTTTCCAATAAGGAATAAAAAAGACTTGCTAACTGCTCCTGGCCCCCTGTACCTATCTAGATCCTAGGTTGCACCATGACACAGATGAGTTTAGGTGTCTCCCTGGCAGATGGTGACCACAGCATTTGTCTTTGGGGCAGATCCGCACTGGGTGGGCCCTTGGTAGGTGCTCAGCAAATGTTTGCTGATGGGCCCAAAGATGGCAGTCTTCCAGAGCCAGGAGACTGTCCTAGAACTTGGGTAGGGCTGTTGTCCCCAAGGCCAGCGGGCCCCCCGGCTAAGCATCCAGCCACGCTTGCCACCGTGGGCTGAAACAAGCTTTTTCTGAGGCCACTGGCCCTCAGGTCATTTTTGGACCTCCCACCCCCGCCTAGGCCGCCTCACCTGCTTCCCCTGGGCTGGAGTGTCCGGCAGTGCTTGGAGGTGCCCTCTGCTGGCCACCCCGGGCTGCTGCCTGCGGTCAACCGTGCAGGCCCCCAGGGCCCCTGCCCCACGTGGTTCCGACCACCCACGGAGCAGAGCGGCCTGCCACTGGGCCCGGCGGGTCCATGCGAGGCGTCTGGACGCAGCCTGCCGGAACTGGGTGACGGCGGCTCGCTGGACACGGCCCCTGGCTGCTGCCTGGGCCCGGGCCTCCAGGACCCTGGGAGGGAGGCAGGAGCCCGCGTCTGTGGGGGGCTGTAGGGAGCCCTCCCCTGCCCCAGGCCAAGCCCCTGCCCGTGCCCCTCCCCTCATCCCTCTTCCGGGGAAATCCAAACAGGCACAGAAAGCACAGAACATCACACACCGGGGTCAAGCGCCCTGTTGAGGCGACGGAGAGTGGGTAGTCCTGCGGCTACGCTTCGCCTCCCCCTCCCTCACTAGAAGGAGCACTGTCTGTTGAGCACCTGCTGTGTTTCTGACCCCTGAGCTGAGCGTTTGCATGCAGTATCTCTCTAAGGGAGGCCTCTTCCCGTCCTTTGACCTTTCAAGCTAGAGACTCGCCCAAACAGGGGTCACCCTGCTGGGAAGCGCAGGTCTGGAACTTGACCCCAGCACCGGCCCCAGTGGCTGGGATCACCTCTCCCTCTGGCCCCAGCCTCCGAAGCCACGTCACCAGCCACCAAATACCTTCCACCTCTGCCAAAAACAAGCTCAAGACCTCAAAAGCACACCCTGCTGGAAGCCCAGTGTGGGGCCGCCCTCAGGCCACGGGCACCCACCTGGCACTCAGCTTCTGGGCAGCGTGGGCTCTGCTGACTCGGTGTAGACAGGACTCCTGCACCCACCATGTCCAGCCCAGGGCCACTCGCCGCCTCCGCGGCACCACCGCCCGGCCCCCCTGCACACAGCTTCTCCAGTGGGCCATGGGGACCGAGGGCATGTGCTGCTCCCGAGCCCGGGCTTTGGCTGCTCCTGCCTCCCGCCACATAGAAACTGTGGTCCCCGGGGCCTCTCTCAGGCCATCCTGAAAGGCTCGGGTGGCTGGGAACACCTCTGCGTCTCTCGCAACTCCACGTGGGGCCTGGAAATGGCTGCAAACAGGAGCAGAGGAGGAGCCCCGCGGGCTTTCAGAGCCAAAAGTCACAATTCAGAATCGCACCCGCAACCCCCTCCCCCAGAATGTCAGCGGTTATACATGGTTTTGCATACACAACCCTGTGCCTTAAAAACGCAAGGACCCGTGTGTAACAGGTCGAAGTGTTAGCTTTCATGAAAGAGCCCGCACAAGTCGGCGACTTGGCGGCAGATGCCCTCCAGTGGGGTGTGGGATCAGGTGCCAGTGCAATCGGGGGAGCAGCCAGACCCAGTCTCCCCTCTCAAGCCCACTCTGCGGCAGGAGGTCGGGGAGCACAGCGCCCACTCCGGAGGAGCCAGAAAAACAGCGTGCACTGTTCAGAGGAGAGAGCCCAGGAGTCAGTGGCCGGCTGCCCCAGGTGGGGACCCCGTGGATGTCGGTGTACTTGAGACTGAACAGTGGGAAGAGGCATCATCTGCCTGCTCTGCTTTTAAACACACACGAATTGGGGCACCTGGGTGGCTCAGTCGGTTGAGTGTCTGACTTTGGCTCAGCTCATGATCTCATGGTTTGTGGGTTCGAGCCCCACATCGGGCTCTGTGCTGACAGCTCAGGGCCTGGAGCCTGTTTCAGATTCTGTGTCTCCCTCTCTCTCTGACCCTCCCTTGCTCATGCTGCCTCTCTCTCTCTCTCTCAGAAGTAAATTTTAAAAAAACATTAAAAAATTTCTTAAATATGCACGAATGAAGTATATGCATTTTACTAGAACATCTGCTTAAGATTTCACTCTTTCGGCAACTGCATGGAGAACTTGGCTGTGTTCAAACAACACATGCTATTGGAGCACACGTTACGGTGGCTGTTTGGGGAGTTGGCTCCCCCCATCTTTACCATGTCCCCTGAAACCGGATGACTGACCCAGTCCTGGGGCTCATCCGGGCATCGGGTGGAGTTAAAGGTTTGCCACCCCCCACCACTTGAACAAAGCAGGTAATGGAAGGTCCGTGGTCATGGCTCTTTGGCTCCTTCATTAGGTCCCCTGGGCTCTCCCTGCTCCTCCCAGAGACGGTGTGACCCTCCTCATCCCCCAACCGCCAGGGTCACCCACCTCTGCTCTGGCGGGGCCGCTGTGCATCTCCGACGAGCTGCCGCCCACCGCCAGTTCTGGAACACGGACCTCCTCAGGCCCTGGAGGTGGAGCTGCACCCACCGCTGGTACTTTTCCTGAAGTAGCTGCTGCTCTGTGGCCAGAGAGAGGCTGATGCCACGGGGTGCTCAGCCCAGCCTTGCCCCCTCTGGCTCTGGGTGACTGTGGGACCCTCCTCAGCCAAGTGCAGACAGAAGAGGCTCCCTAACCATTGGGGTTTAAATGCTTTGGTTATGGGGCGCCTGGGTGGCTCAGTTGGTTAAGCGTCCAACTTCAGCTCAGGTCATGATCTCGTGGCTAGTGGGTTCGAGCCCCGTGTCAGGCACTGTGCCGACAGCTCACAGCCTGGAGCCTACTTGGGATTCAGTGTCTCCCTCTCTCTCTGCCCCTCCCATGATCATGCTCTGTCTCTGTCTCTCAATGATAAAAAAAATTTTTTTAAATAGAATAGGACTTCCTTTACTTCAACAGTCATTAGGGGGAGGAAGTTTTTATTCGGTGGGTGCATTCCACCTGCTGGAGAGGTTCCATTCCCTTCCAGTCAATGGAACACATGACTGTTGATCTCGGGGTTGTTGAGTTCAGGCCCCACATCCAGCAGAGTTCCCTTTAAAAAAAGGGGGGGCCAGGGAGCCATGTGGGAGTCCATCTGTTAAACCCCAACAATCCCCACCTCCCACGCTGGGCTCTGAGGGCACCATAACTCAGTGCTCAGACCCCATGACTCCGGAAGGCCAGGTGAGGATAATGAAGATGAGGATGAAGAAGATGAGAAGAACCCACTAGAAGGTGGTTTCTGAGCCAAACACTGCGCCTGGATGGTCTCACAGAATCCCCACAATCGCCTCTGAGGAGGTTGCTACTATGATTCCCATTTTACAGATAAGTAAGCTGAGATTCGGAGAGGTTAAGGGGCTTCTGTAAGGTCCACGCAGCTGGGGGATGGCAGGGAAGTGTTCACAGTGTCTATGCCCCCCGTGCTCTGTCCCTTCCCCATCCCAGGTGGGCTCCGAGGACGTCACATCCCTGGACTCCGTGCTGGAGGACATAAAATCCTGGGTCTCCCTGATGAGCCCCGGCCCTCCCCTCGCCCTTGCTGACCCGGACCCGGGCCCTGACTCACTCTGCCAGCGGGCGTGCCAGCGGTGCAGGGCGCCTCGAACCAGTGTGCGATCCCGGGTCCGGGCCCACCGCCCTGCCTTCAGCCTCTGCGCCAGCCACCGCCGCCACACGCCCAGTGCGGCCCTGCAGCTCCGATCCCAGGCCCAGCCGACAGCCAGCTCTCCCTGGGCCCCCTGGGCTGTTGCCCAGTGGCTCCAGCCGAGAAGGATGCTAGGAAGGGGAGCGTCCACCCTGAGGATGGTCACGGCCACCCGAGGCTCTCCCAGCCCTGGTCTCCTCCTCCCTCAGGACCTTCAGGTGACTCTTCTCTCTGTTCCCATCCTGGGGGAGCGCGGGCTGCTGGGGGCTGGACGGCTCGAATGTCACAGTGACAGGTGCTAGGGATAAAAATGGGATCCCGGACCCCATTGCCAAGTCCTGCGCTCAGCCACTGGGGGTGAACACTGCTGTGTGCCAGGTACTGTGCTAGCTTACATGCCCCTACCTTGTTGATTCCCATCGGGGTACTATTACTATCCCTACACAAATGGAGAGACGGAGGTTCAGAGAGGTTAAGCAACTTGCCCAAGATCACACAGCCAGCCAGCAAGGAGCAAAGCTGCGATTAGAACCCTGGCCGACTGACCCTTAATTACGCATCATGCTATGAGTGAATAAATGAATGAGCCACAGCTAGGGAGTCTCCGGGAGAAACAACCAGCCCGTGGAGTGCCTCAAGCCCCCTTCCCTCTCAGCAGGGCAGGCTAAGAGGGCAGGAGACGTCCAGAGGATCAGAGTCTGGGGGTGTGAGATGGAAGCCCTCTGGGATGCAGACCCCCAAAGGGAATGCAGCGGTGGAGGTCGAGGATTGGGAAGGGGGCTGGGAAACAAGATGTCTACAGAGTGGTGGGTAGCATGGCTCACCCACCATGGGGAGGGGGCCCTACCGCCTCTGCAGAGGTCGCCGGCGCCACCTCGCTGCCCTCCGGGACCGCTGTGTCTGCACCTGCCAGAGCAGGAAGCACCGCGTCTTCCGCTGCTGCCCAGCTGCCCACAAAAAGCTCAGCCACGGAGGTCTCCAGGAGGGCGGGGGCCCTGGACGCCTGGGGAAGGAGGGGTGGAGTCCTGCATCCCCTGCCCCACCCCCCCCGCCCTAGCCCATCCCCATCCCCCCCCCCGCCCCCACCCCCGCCAGGCCAGCCCCTCACCTCTAGTGAGCTTTGGGCTGTGCCGCAGCCCAGCAAGGCCTCCCCTCCCGGGATGCTGGCCAGCAGCTCCATGGCCAAGGTGCTCCTGGCACTGCCTGATGGGGTGCCCAGATGCCATGCCCTCAGATGCCACCCCTTCAGGATACACAGAATCATCTGCTGTCGCACACCCTGGAGGAAGGAGCTACAGGAAGGGGCAAGTAAGTCCCTGGGCCCCAGCTGAACCCCTGGCTGACGGGGCTGTGCCCGCCGAAGAGCTGGGCCAGAAGGGAGCCACTGCGTGCCAACACTGGGCCAGAGCACCGTCTCTCCCGCCGGCTGCCCCTGGGACTCTTGGGGGCTCTGAGAAGCACTGACGCCCACCGGGACCCCGCCCCCAGAGGTGCAGACTTCACAGTCCAGGTGTGGCCCGGGTTTCCTGACTTTCCCGTGAGCATCTCAGGCCGAGAGCAGTGCTACCCCTGCGTGGCGCCCGCGGCTGGTCCTTGCCACACTCCTGATGGGGATGGAGCTGGGCCCCAGACTCCAGAGAACACAGGCATAACTGCTTCTGCCTCTGCTCAGTGATAAAGATAGGGAAACTGAGGCCTGGCGGAAGGTCATTTCCCCAAACTCCATATAGTGGAAGACGTGGGACCCAAATGCTCATTTCATTTTTTTCTTTTCTACAAATTATTTTAATGTTTATTTATTTATTTTTGAGAAAGAGAGTGGGAAGGGGTGCCTGGGTGGCTCAGTCGGTTAAGCGTCTGACTTCAACTCAGGTCATGATCTCACGGTTCATGGGTTCAAGCCCCGCATCGGGCCCTGTGCTGACAGCCAGCTCAGAGCCTGGAGCCTGCTTCAGATTCTGTGTCTCCCTCTCTCTCTGACCCTCCCCTGCTCATGCTGCCTCTCTCTCTCTCTCTCTCAAAAATAAATAAAATAAAAGATTAATGCTATGACTAACTCTATAAAAAAAAAAGAGAGAAAAAGAGAGAGGGGGAGAGAGAGAGAGAGAAGACATGGGCAAACAGGCAAGAAGCACAGAGAGATTGATGGCACAGAGCCATCGGCACAGAGCTTGACGCAGGGCTTGAACTCAGAGAGATCTGAGCCGAAATCAAGAGTCGGATGCTTAACCAACTGAGCTACCCAGGCACCCCCAAATACTCATTCTAGGTCATGGGGTAGTCTAAATAGATATTGAGTGTCCCCTGATGCCCAAAGGGTAGAGGATGGACTGGAGGAGGTTAAGCTATGTTCTGGGAGATTGTGGTGAACTGACTTTCCTGAGAGTTCTAGGGGTACATTAAAAGAGACTGAGGGTCCAAGTGGACCAAGTGGGTGTGGGATAATGGATGCTAGGTATGTGGCGTTCAGTGACGGAATTCTTATCCCTACAACTGTTGGTTTACATCCCACTTGACATATCATCAATGCAGCCGGCCCCTCCTGACCCCCAACTCCCACCCCGTTACCCACAACTGTCACCGGGACTCTGAATCCCAGCAATGACTGTCTTGTGGAAAAGCAACGGGGACCTTCCTGCTCCTATTTCACAGAGTGATTTAGAGCAAGCTGTTCGACTGTCTGAGCCTCAGTTTCTCTAGCCGTATAATAAGGCAGATGGGGCACTTCTCCCCTTACAGTATTTATTCCATGCCTCTGACATGCCAGACGCTTGCCAGGCACTGGGAGACAGCGGTGGGACAGACACGGTTCCTGCCACCAGGGGGCTCCCACCCAGCCGGCAGATGGGCTAGAAACTGACCCCTCCATCAGGTTCCAGCCACCCCGGGGAGAAGCCGGTGTTTGTGTCCCGGCTGTCCCGTGGCTCCTACAACTCTGCGCTCCCTCACTGTCTCCAGGTCCCTGGGCCACCACCCCCAGCTCCACACCAGCTGGGTGCCACGCTGTGCCACGGGGCAGAGCAGGGCCTGGCCTGTTCCCTAGGGGGCGCTCCTGCCAGTGCCGAGCGCTGCTCACGTGCCCACCCCGAACGCGCTCCCAGGCCCAGCCCCAGGCCCCAGGCCCGTGGGGACACCTACTCAGCCCTCTGGCGCTGGGACAGCCGCGTCCTCCAGAGCAGCAGCGCGCGGCGGAGGGCCAGTCTCCGGCAGGCCTCCTGCAGGGAGCCGCAGCCTTGCTCCTGGGCCATCGCCCCCAGGCCTCGCGCTGTGGCCACTCCGGGCGCTGGGCTGCAGACAGCCGCGTTCCCTGAGGAGCAGTCAAGGGATGAATCAGCCACGTCCCAGGGACCCCCTTCCACCCGCAGCCGTTGGTGGAACCCACGCAGTCACAGAGGCTGCTGCCTCACCCCCACCCACCCCTCCTGAGGACCCTTCCCCTCCCAGGCACTGCCCCCTCTCACTGCCTCCAAATCCTCCCCTCCAAGACCCCTCAGAGGCCCCATCTTCGCTGCCAGATTTGGGGGTGGGGGACAAGGTCTGTGTGTCCCCCAGACCAGGAGCTTCCTGAGAGCAGGGACTACATCCCACTCTGGTAGAAGACGGGACACAGTCCCTTGCCAAGAGCGGCTCACGACTGGGGGTGGGGACGGGGCCCAGCCAAAGCCTGCGCACTCCAGGGACCCCACCTGGACCCTCCCGGGCCCGTCAGACTGTGCCCCCCAGAAAGCCTCTGTTTCGCCATCCCCCCTCCCAAGAAGCCATCGATTCAACTGGGGCCCATCACAGACACTGTTTGCCGGGGTGGGAGGGCGAGGGGGCCCCTGCCTTCTGCCAGCAGAGGGACAGCCGGGTCACCTTCGCCCCATCTGAGGCCTGGAGCTGCTTCATCCACACCCACTGCTGCAGACACGTCTTCAGGGTCCCTGCCCGGCGGTGAGCCAGGCGGTCCCGGTACTGGGCCCCTCTTTGCACGAACTGCTGCCAGGCCCCAAACCACCTGGGGAGCCGAGAGAAGGTGCTGGCACTAATAGCAACCACAGCGGCGACAGCCACCTGCTGCCTCACCTAGGAGCCTCAGGCTTCCCGTGTGTAAAATGGGGCAGCTCCACCTGCCCAGGCGGCCACACCCTCCCCTCAGGGTGCCCGGTGGCCTGAGCAGCCCAGATCTGCCCTTGGCCCCTCCAGGGAGTCACAGCTCCGTAGCCAGAGTGGTCTTTTCGAATCTCAGGCAGTCACCTCGCCCCTGCTGAAATCCTCCAGTGACTGCCCCCGTGCTCTGAGGACGAAATGTCAGCCACCCTGGGGGCTTACAGGGCCCCGGGACCCCGTTCCACCTTCACCTTAAACCACCCGACCCCCGTCCTGGGCCCCGGGGCTCCAGCTGGAGCTGCTGTCCTTCGTGTTGCTCGTGCGCCCCAGTCACATGCCTTTGCCAGAGCTGCCCCCTCGCCTGCCGGCTCTCCCTCAACCAACCGGCCGGGCGCTCAGCCCCACGTCTCCGCGGAACCCCTGTCTAGCAACCTTCACTCAAAGTTCTCATGGAAAACTGCACTTCGCAGGGGGGTGGGGGGGAATGCCGGGGTGGCTCAGTCGTTAAGCATCCAACTCCTGATTCTGGCTCAGGTCGCGATCTTGCAGGTTGTGGGTTCGAGCCCCACATTGGGCTCCTCACTAACTGTGGAATCTGCTTGGGACTCTCGGTCTCTCTCTCTCTCTGCCCCTTGAGTTCTCTCGCTCTCTCTAAATAAACAATCAAACAAACTTAAAACACATATATATTAAAAAAGAGGGGCGCCTGGGTGGCTCAGTCGGTTAAGCGTCCGACTTCAGCTCAGGTCATGATCTCGCGGTTCGTGGGTTCGAGCCCCGCGTCGGGCTCTGTGCTGACAGCCAGCTCAGAGCCTGGAGCCTGTTTCAGAGTCTGTGACTCCCTCTCTCTCTGACCCTCCCCTGCTCATGCTGTCTCTCTCTCTCTCCTAGAAATAAATAAAACATTAAAAAAAAAAAAAAAAAGAAAAGTGCACCGCGGATGCAGTCAGCAGGATGTAGACATTGATGGGGAAACTCTATCCGACCAGTGACCTGGTTTCCTCAACAGGTAAATTGCAAAGAAAGAAACCAGAAGGGACCCCATAATGAGGGGCACCTGGGTGGCTCAGTCTGTTAAGCATGTGACTCTGGATTTCGTCTGAGATCATGTTTGCAGGGTTGTGGGATCGAGCCCCGAGTCAGGCTCCATGATGAACGTGAAGCTTGCTAAAGATCCTCCCCCTCCCTCGCTCTCTGACGCTCCTGCTGCATGAGCACTCTCTCTCTCTCTCTCTCTCTCTCTCTCTCTAAAAAAGAAAACAACAACAAAAAAAGATTTAACGACTTGTCAACCAACTTTTAACATGTTGACTTTCCTTATTTTTTTTGAAGGCAACAGATATTTTAAGTGAATCTAATTAAAATTGCAAATGCTAAACATTTATTTTATTTTTAAAGTTTATTTATTTAAAGAGAGAGAAAAAGCACAAGTTGGGGAGGGGCAGATAGAGAGCGAGAGAGAGCAAATCCCAAACAGGCTCTGCACTGTCAGTGTGGAGCCCAGCACGGGGCTCGAACCCACAAACTGTGAAATCATGACCCAAGCCGAAGTTGGATGCTTAGCCAACTGAGCCACCCAGGCACCCCCCAACATCTGTTTTAATTTCTTCAAGTTCTCCAAAGGGAAAATATTAAATTTATTATTTCAACAAGTAGTATTTTCTGTAAGTAGTCTGTGGACTGTCAGAAAAAAAAATTCTCCACTGATCCAGCACTATTTGGGTATAATATGAATAAAAGAAACTGATTCTTTAAAAACATAGTACAAAGTTTTGGTGTTTGAATGAATGAATGTCAGACTCTTCTGGGTTGTCATTTAGGAAGCTGGACACATATTCTGGTGAGTGACCATCCCTCAAAATAGTCTGCATTTCCCATTTTGGAATTGTTTTCAAAGATTGTAACATGTGGACTTTGTTTAGAACCCAATTTGAACAAACTATAAGAGAGCATAAAAAACAATCGGACATTTGAATGCTGACCAGATATTCGCTGGTGTTAAGGAATTATTGTCCGTTTTTAGGCGTGATCATGGCATTGTGGTTATGTCATTGAAAAGAGGCCCCATCTTCTGGAGATGCTGCAGAGGTATTTATGGATGAAATGGTAGGATGTGAGGCACCTGCTTTAAAATAATGTTAGGGGGAAGCAGTTGGGGTACAGATGAAGTGAGTTTTTAGGAGGTGATTTTCTTGAAGGTGGGTGATGGAGACCCTAGCGTTTAGTATCTAATCTATTTTATTAAAAATGTTTTTAAATGTTCATTTATTTTTGAGAGAGAGACAGAGTGCAAGCAGGGGAGGGGCGGAGAGAGAGGAGACACAGAATCCAAAGCAGGTTCCAGGCTCTGAGCTGTCAGCACAGAGGCTGATGCGGGGCTTGAACTCACAAGCCATGAGATCATGACCTGAGCCAAAGTCAGATGCTTAAACCGACTGAGCCCTGCCAGGCGCCCCTTCATTTCTTATTTTTATCACCGCTTCTTGATACCAGGAGTCCAGAACGGACTCAAAGGGTACCTCCCAGCTGCGTCCCACCCTCTGCCTCCTGGACAGGGGTCCCCACTCCACGGTCCTCCACTTCCCCCTACCTGCGGAGCCAGGCTCTCTGCGGCTGGGTGTCCAGCGAGGCCACCCTGGGTGTGTCTGCAACATGGGAGCCCCAGGCCTGGGGGGCGTCCCCCTCCTCTGAGTCCTCAGCATGGCCTGGGGGGCCTCTCCCCGGCCCCCCCTCTCCTGCCTGGCCCATTCCTTCTGATGGCACCATAAGAGGAAGCCTGGAAAGCGAGGAGAGCAAGGGGGGGGGGAGGCTCAGGGACAGGAGGAGGCCATGCCGCTCCCCGTCTCCGGACCTCAGTTTCCCCGTGAGCGAGTGATGTCTGAGGGACCTTCTGATTCTAACATGCAAGCCTCTGGGGGCCCTGCAGGAGCATCAAGGGCATCCATGCATGATGTGTGCCTTTCCCGCTGTGTGCCCTCCCGCGGTGCCTCGGTTTCCCACCCGTAACCTGGGCACAAAGCCTCGCCCGGGGCCCGCAAACCTCAAATGAGGCCGTGCCCAAGAAGCTGTCTGAGCAGCCGCTCAGCACACATTCGCTCCGGACCCCCTGCGCTGCCCAGTGTGGACCAGCCCAGCTCCCTCTCCCCTGCTTCCCCCCGGGCCCATCGCTCACCAGCCAGTTGCTGCAAGGCCTGAAGCATCTGTATTTCTCCCTTGCCTCCATCTGCTCTCGGCCAGGCTCCTGCCTCCTCCCTCTGACTCCCTGGACTGAGAGTGAAGTTGCTCAGAGAAACCCTCCCCCGGGCTGAGGGGGAGGGCACAGCCCCAACCAGGCCAGGCAGGGCAGAGGATGTGCCGAGCTGCCCCTCCCCCACCCCTTCTCTTCCCACCGCGGGTCCCTTTCATCCCTGATTATCTAAGAGGCCCTCAGGGAGGTTCTGTTTTGTTCCATTCTCCTCAGTGCTGTTTGGTTTCTTACAACAAACGTGCAGTAAGATGTTATCTGTGCGGCGCCTGGGTGCCTTAGTTGGGGGTTCGAGCTGACAGCTCGGAGCCTGGAGCCTGCTTCAGATTCTGTGTCTCCCTCTCTCTCTGCCCTTCCCCCACTAATGCTCTTTTTTTTTTCACTCTCTCTCTTAAAAATAAACATTAAAAAAATAAAGCAAATATTATTGGAATAATTATTTTAAGCACATTTGGTGAATTTACGAACGAGAACAAAAACAGTACACTGCTGTAGTGGAAGGTGGGAGATGGAGGGAACAGAGAAGAAAATAGCCAACTTGAATTCCACCACTCCAGAGATGAGCACTATCTGCTTACTTTAGCATTTTTTGAATGAAATATTTAATTTTTAATAGGAGTAAAATACGCCCAACATAAACCTTATGATCTTAACCATATCCAAGTGAGCGGTTCCATAATGCCAAGTCGTTGAGGATCATATTTTTCCTTCTCTGCTGTTTCACGTGCATGAAACGTATCTTCCACGCTATTTTTATTCTTTTTCTTCCCCATTTAACATTGTCATAACCATTTTTCTCTGTCATCAAAAATTCCATGCAAATACCCATGAAACTACTTCAAGGAAGGGGTTTCCATGGAGAGAGGGATGAAACTTTCAACTATTCGGAATGTTCTTCAAATCAAGCATGCATTACTGTTATAATTAAAGATAACACCAATAAAGATATTGAAATGAAAAAAATTTTTTTTAATTTTTTTTAATGTTTTTTTTTTTTAATTTATTTCTGAGAAAGAGACAGGTAGCGTGAGCAGGGGAGGGTCAGAGAGAGAGGGAGACACAGAATCAGAAGCAGGCTCCAGGCTCTGAGCTAGCTGTCAGCACAGAGCCCCATGCGCGGCTCGAACCCATGAACCGTGAGATCATGACCTGAGCCGAAGTCGGACACTCAACCGATTGAGCCACCCAGGCGCCCCTGAAAAAAATTTTTTTAAAAAGAACAGGGAGGAAATTTTAAAGTCTTTGTTTTAATTTTTTTTTTTGATGTTTTATTTTTGAGACAGAGAGAAAGCATGAGCCAGGGAGGGGCAGAGAGAGGAGGAAACAGGATCTGAAGCAGGCTCCATGCTGACAGCACAGAGCCCGATGTGGGGCTTGAACTCACTCAAGCTGTGAGATCATGACCCGAGCAGATGTCAGATGCTTAGCCAATGGAGCCACCCAGGCGCCCTGGAAATTTTAAAGTCTTGATAAACGTCATGTGGAGCAGCTGCCAAATGTTCATCACACCGTTAAACCATAATTTTCTCAATCACTGTTGGGCATTTCAGCTGTTTTGAAGTTTTTACTGGTAAAAATAATGCTGCGATGGGCATACTTGTGCACAGAGCTTTGTCCGTATCTGCTGGCATTATCCTGATCCTCTTGTGGGGGACACTGAGGCAGGAAGCGGGGGAGGGAATGCCACCAGCACTGCCACACTGACCAACTGACCACAGGGGTATCCCGGACTACCTGCTTCTCCAGGCGGGGTCTGCCACTGGCTCCCTTCCTGAAGGGCTTTGGCCTTGGTCTGTCCCAGACGGTGGGGGTCCCGGCCCAGCCTGGACTTGGGGCTGCCCTTGCTTCTGCTGCAGAGTCTGGTTTCTCCACTGGGGCAGGAGAGAAGGGAAAGAAGGATGTGGGCTATACACTCAAATGTGCCCCAATGGCGGTACCGGGGGGGTGGGGGACAGGAGTCGGACATTTCTGTGAGATTCCGAGGTCTTCAGTCTTAACTTGTAGACTACCTTGCCCCTTTGGGAATTAATGAATGTGTGGAGAGATGGAGCCAAGATGCCGTGCTTTCCCGGAGCTGGGCCCTCCCATGGAGGGAAGACCACAGACATGCCCTCCAAGTCCTGGCTGGCTAACCATGAGGGAAAAACAACTGCTGCTCATACGGTAGAGCACTTGCTATGTGCGAAGTAGGGTCCTGAGTCCTTTATATTTACTAATGTAACCTCACAACAATCCTGAGAGGTATGTACTATTATTTTTATCTCATTTTGGAGCTAAAGAAACTAAGGCAGAGAGAGGTTGAGTAACCTGCCCAAAGCCACACAGCAAAAAAAAAAAAAAAAAAAAAAGTGGGAAAAAGAAAGTAGTGGAGGCTGGATTTGAACTCAGGCAGACCTGGGTCAGGTGTCTGGACGGACCACCACCTGCCGTACTGCTGATCACTAAGGAGGTACATAACGGCTGCCCTCCTCCCCGGACACACCAGCTTTTCATCACCTCCCCATGGCCCAGCCTGGAGGCCCCTGACCTTTCGGAAGCTCTGGGCCAGCAGGGCCCGAGTGTGTCGCTTCCACACCGCCTCCAGCCGGGCCTCCCGGAGCCGCAGTGCCCGCCGAAGGGCCCGCAGGCCCCTGTGCAACAGCTGTTGGCGGCTCAGTGCCACCGCTGCGGCCACGGCCCTCTGTTTCCGCACCAGATGCCACCAGGCTCTGAAACATCTGGACAGCCACCGGCCGCTGGGGCCAGCCCAGCGCTCATCAGGGGCCAGGCCTGGCCCCTCAGCCCCAGGGGGCAGCTGGGGGCTGGGCATCACCCCCATCCCCCGTCTGGCACCGATGCGGGTGCTGCCTCACGCTGCAGCCCTCTGCAGACCGCCAGCCTAGGAAATCCCAGACAGGAAAGCCCCTGGAGGGGCAGAATGCCCCCTTGATGGCCGAGAGTGCCAGGCAGCCTCCGAAGTGTAAAACTCCCAGCAGAGGCCACCGTGCCCACATTCCCGTCCTTGGGGCCCTGGGAAGCCCCTCTCCTTCCCCAGCAGGGACAGGGTGAAGGAGTCCCCTCCCCCTTAAGCCCTGCGTGGATCGGTCCCCAGGGCCTGCCCTCTGCCCAGTGCTCGTCTCCACTGGCCCAGGCAACTGGGAAAGCAGCTGCCCCAGGAGTGTGGCTGGCACCCCCCTCCCCCCTCTAGCCCATGGCCTCACCCGGCTGTCCTGGGCTCCAGGCTCACAACATTTCGGGCCTTGCCCTTGGAAAGCAAAAGAACAGGGCACAGTTCTCAGGCCGAGGAGGAAGCAGGACAGGACGCCAAGCCTGCCTGTCCAACGCTCCCCCTTCTGGGGGGCAGGGAGCAAAACTGGGTAGTGGCAGCCGGCTGGCAAAGAGAATTCCCGGGAGCACTCCTGAGGCCCCCCAGCCCCCACGGCCAGCCTCCTCTGGCCTCTACCTGCGGGCCGCTCTGTGCTGCGGCTGCATCTGGTGGGCAGGGAGCTGTTCTCTCTTCCTCTTTGCTGACCTGCTCCTGCGGGGCCACCTCCCTTCCTTCCTGCCCAGGTGGAACGCCGCGGGCAGCCCTGGAGCGAGCCGAGGAATAAGGTCTGGCTTCCCTGTTTCCCCCGCCTTGAGGGAGCTGGGGGTCCGTCTTCTGCCAGCGGCCATATGTAGGCCCCAGGGAGACGTTCTCTCCTTGCCTTAGGCGGTTGGCCAGAAAGACCCCCTGTTTAGGGTCAAGGAAATCCACGGCCGGCATCCTCAGCGCGGTTTCCAGTGATGCAGGCTCACTGCTTGCCTGACAGTCTGAGAGGCCAGCCCAGGCCCCCTGGGTCCCAGGGAATCCCGCAGTTTCTCTGAGACCCCGCACGGGGTTTTCCCTCCCACCCCAGGAAGCAAGAACAGACTGGCTGGGCTGGCGGTGGGCAGGGAGTGCTTGGCCGCTGCCAGTCCAGGGGTCCCAGCGAGCCGGGCCCGCGGGGTCCTGGGCTGCCCGGCACCCCAGACGGGCTACCTCGTGCTCCAACTGTCGCACAGAGGCCAGCAGCTGGTGGAAGGCACTGTGGGATGGGAACCGAGCCTGGCTCTGGACCGGGACAGTCAGGTCCTCCAGGGTGAGGGGCTCCCCCAGGAGCCTCGGGGGCCAGCTCCCCAGGACACACCAGGGTCTGGAGCCTGGCCGTGTGTGCCCGCCGTAAGGGGCAAAGGCTGTGGCAGGCTGGACATCGGGGCACGGGGTGTCTGTGCCCAGCAATGGCGAGGAAGGGCAAGCCAGGGATGCTCGGGATAGAGGGCCACCCCGGGGTCCTGGGTTGGGCCAGAAGCTGTCCCGAAGCCCCGACTGGAGGCGGGGGCTGAGGTGACTTCTGCACTCGGCCAAGCTGGCCCCCCGTATGCTCAGGTTACTCTGTCGGACGGCAAACTCTCGGGGTCCCCCCTGGGGCCTGCCGCCCGGGGTCTGCACGTTGCTCTGCTGTTGCGAGCTGGAGTTCATCAGCCGGCCAGTCGTGTCCTGGAGGATGAGGCTCAGGCCGGGGCTCGGGCCGGCCAGGTTGGTCTGGACCCTGCAAGGCTCCTGGAGCCGCGCTGCCCCCGGGGAGTGTGTGGCGGCAGACGCTTCCCTCTCGGCCTGGCACACGCGCACCCACCGGCCGTGTCCACTGCCCGGGCCGACACCTCGACTCTTCAGGAATCTCCGTTGCTCTAAAGAGGGGAGACACAGCCACGCGCTGAGGGCAGACGCAGTGGTCAGTGCTCCCGTGGGGTGCGGGGAGCGGGTCAGAGACAGGGTGCCAGGCAGGAGGGGGCCGGGAGGACTGAGGGGTGGTCTGACTCGGTGCCTGGCTGCGGGCGCAGCCTGGGATGTGAGGGGGAGGAGGGCAGAGGGCAGCAGGACAGTAATGAGGCAGGGGGGAGGGGGTGGGGCTGTGAAAGCAAGAGAAGGGTGGAGATGACTGATTCCTGTCTTGGGCAAGGTGATGGGGGAGCAGCACGGGGCGGGGGCGGTCAGGGACAAGACCCGACACAGCAAACAGCGGTAGGTGAGCTGCTCTGGGTGACCCAAGGCAGGGTTTAGTCTCCCCAGCTCCCAAGGCCATTCGCAGCAGGAGAGGAGGCTTCCCGGGGGTGGGGGTGGGGGGTGGAGGTGGGGTGGGGGTGGTGAAATGCCCGGGGGACCTCGCAGCTACAGCGGGCCGTAGGAGTTGTGACTTTGAAGATAGGAACCAAAGCTCAGAGGGGTTTGGCGACTTGCCCCCCGTCACACAGCTAGAACTTGGGAGAAACGGGCATGTGCATCAGAATCTGAATTGGTCTGGGGGCTGCTTCCAGCCTTGGCTCTGTAGCCAAGCGCCCGAGCGGGGAGGCTCCCCAGCCACTACCCAGGCACAGACCGACCTGGCGGGGAGGGGGGGCAGCCAGGCCCACTCCTGGTCCTCCTCTTCCTGCCTCACTTCCTGACATGCTGGCCCTCCCTCCGTCCCAGGCTAGGAAGATGTGTCCTGGCCCAGCTGGCCCTGTACTGTTCATCTCTGGAATTAGCGAGGCCTGATAGAAAAGCAGCTCTGGGCGAATAGGGACAGGGGACACTGTTCCCGCCACATCCACCCCAGACCCACCAAGCCTCTTGCCTGGCCTCAGGGGTGTCGCAGGCCTGGGGGCCACATTCTCCTTGTGGCGGCCATCGTTTCTCAGCTCCATGGGCCGCAGGGCTAAGGCAAGCGGTCTGGTCTGTCTGATCGGAGAGGTCCTGAAGGGCAAAGACAGGATGCCCAGCTCCCACCAGGTCATACCCCAGCCCTGGTCCACACCCCAGCCTCCATCAGCACCTCTGCTTGCTCTGGGGCCCAGCCCCAGCTGTCCTGGTCAGGCCCCCACACCACCCCCTTCCCCTTACGATTTTCTAGTGTCCTCCAGCGCCTCCTCCTTCTAACACTGACCACAGACCTCTCTGTGGCCGCTGCAACCGGACAGCCCTCCCGGGGAGGGGGGAAAGGGGGCTCTCTTTGCTTTGTGCCACCACTTCCTGCCCCCCCGAACACTGGAGCCCAAAGCTGAACGGGGCTGAAAGCAGTCCGGGTCCTGTCTTCTCGTTCCTTTGAAGGTTTCAGCTCTGGCTCACTGTCACAGTCTCCAACACACACCTCAGTTCTTGGTGATCGCACCGTCCACACGACTGACGCCTCCCACCCCTGGCCTGCGGAGTCCTTCGCCTCTTCCTTTCCCGCCATCTTGCCCTTTGTCCCACACGGGCCATCCACTGCCGTGGTCTCCCAGGCTCTAGCATCCTAAATAACTGTACCCGCCCCAGTTCTAGAGCCCACCCCCGTCTCCAGAGCTCCATGCCGGTGGTCTCTCCCCCATCGGACCGCATCCTCTGGCCCCACCACCCTCTGTCTCTCCCCTCCTTCAGCATACAGCCACCCCTTCGCACACCCTCACCCCTGGACCACGCGCCTCCTCTGCACAACGCTGATTACTGGTTTTCACCCTACTTCCGCACAGACAGCCTCGCTCCAAATGACCACCTTTGATCCCAAGTGGGTGCAAAGGCTGCTGGAGAACGAGACGAGATGCCTCCCCCTCCCTCCCAGATGCCAATTCACACGTTCTCCTCTGTCTTCAAACCCCTGTCACCTCTTCTCCCCTCCCCCCAGCGGACCTCCTCCCCTCCCCCCAGCTGACCTTGCTTTCTGCCGCACTCACAAAATAGGGCAGCAGAAGAGAAATGCCTCCGTGTTCCTTATCAGCCAGCTTCCAGGACCTCCCCCTCCCCCACCCCACCTCCGTCCTCTGCGGGCCTATTTCCCAGGCAGACCCTCCCCGACACTCCAGCCTCCCCAGGGAAAGCGCCCAGCACCACCACTGTCCTCCGAAGGGCCATTCTGGGCACCAGGACAGGCACTCATGACCCCCACAGCCCCACAGCAGACTCAGGCCTGAACCTGAGCACAGAGCTTGGGGGCTGGGACACAGGCTATGGCGTGTCAGGACCATGTCCTTGCTCCATAAACCACCCCCCATCAGTACTTCCCCCTTCTTTACTAAATCATTCCCACAGCACTTAATCAGGTGGTTATTTCTTCCAACTTTAAAAACAGAGGGGCGCCTGGGTGGCTCAGTCGGTTGGTTGGGCATCTGACTTTGGCTCAGGTCATGATCTCGCAGTTCATGGGTTCTAGCCCCGCGTCAGGCTCTGTGCTGACAGCTCAGATCCTGGAGCCTGCTTCAGATTCTGTCTCCCTCTCTCTCTGACCCTCCCCTGCTCATGCTGTCCCTCTCTCTCTCTCTCTCAGAAATAAATAAAACATTAAAAAAAAACCCAAAAAAACCAGAAAGCAGGGGCGCCTGGGTGGCTCAGTCGGTTAAGCGCCCAACTTCAGTTCGGGTCATGATCTCACGGTTCGTGAGTTCAAGCCCCGCATCCGGCTCTGTGCTGACGGCTTGGAGCCTGGACCCTGTTCAGATACTCTGTCCCCCTCTCTCTCTGTGTCCCCTCCCCACTCATGCTCTGTCTCTCTCTCTTTCTCAAAATGGAATGTTAAAAATAATAAAAAGAAAATAAAAAACAGAAAGCAAAACGACCAAAACAAAAACAACAACAAGAAACTTCACCACCACCCTTCTTGAGCTTCAGGCCCCAGGTCCTCTCTTCCTCACCCCACAGCCAAGTCTCCCTATTTCTCTCCCATCTCCATCTGCTGGCCTCACTGCAATCGGCTCCCCACACCCACGAAGCTGCTTTCCTCCAGGCGATCCCCGAGATGCCACACCCCTGGCCAGCTGCGGGGGCGGGGGGGGGGGAAGGGGGCTGGGTTAAGGCAGCAGGACCAGGACAGTGGTCATTCACTCATCTTCCTGGGGGACCCTTGCTTCCCTGACTCCAGGATGCTCCTTCCTGGGTATCGAACCAAATGAAAATGGAGTCACTTATATCAAGAACAGAATGGAGATGGTCACCGCAGGTGCATAGAGGACACTTAACCTAACCTTCCAGGAACGTACAGCTCTTCTCAGAAATCAGCAGAGGGCACCAGCCATCAAGTCTGTTCACGTGTCTCTGAACTTCCTTGTTCCTCTCACTTAGCCACCCTGGTCCAAATACGGGTGACCACCAGACAACCAACAGCTCTAAAAGCCAGATCACTTCCATACATATCCCATAAAACCCCCTTACTCTTTGGGCAATCGGAACACACTGCTCCCGGAGCCCTGAGTTTCCTGGCTTGCAGGTTGGGGGCCCTGCGATTACTCAGTCTTTCCGCGTTGTTTTATTCAGGATGCTGAGTCTGGGTTTTGACTGGGTTTCCTTCCCTCCCTCCTGCCGGCCAGCTCTTCCGGGTCACCTCTGCAGGTTCCTCCTCTTCGGAGCGCTTGCCTTCAAGGCCCCACAGCAGGGAGCCTGCCCGTTATGGAAATCAAGTGGTCCCGAACACAGCCGCGTCTGGTGGTTTAGTGGCTTGTCTCTGGCTGCTTTCTTGACACAATGGCAGAGGAGGTGTAACAGAGACCTTAAGGACCTCAGAGCCGAAAACATTTACTCTTTGGCCTTTAAGAAAGTTTTCTGGGGGCGCCTGGGTGGCTTAGTCGGTTAAGCGTCCGACTTTCGCTTAGGTCATGATCTCGCGGTTCGTGGGTTCGAGCCCCGCGTCGGGCTCTGTGCTGACTGCCAGCTCAGAGCCTGGAGCCTGTTTCAG